CAGGGATTAGTCCCCTGGAGTGATCTGGGATAGATTTCCGCTTCCAGAACAACTCTTGGAACGTCCTCAACAAGACAGCAAACTGGTCTCCAACATACTCCGCTGAGGTTCAAATGATGATCCAGGGGCAGGAGAGTTTGCTAGAGGTGCCCCCCCTCAGTGACTGAGCAGCTGGTTATAGAAAAATGTAAACACGAAAGTAGGGCTGGTGTCGTGAAGACAAATTGCCTAGAAAAAAATTCTAAAGATATTCAAGCTGAAAAGAGCCCTACGAATCCTTTTAGTTCAATCTCGTTTGACAGATGTGGAAACTGAGGTCCAGAAAAGGGAAGCAACTTGTTGTCACCTAGCATGTCAGTGACAGAGTGAGATGATATCCCCACTCCTGTTCTTCCCCAGAGACATATCACAGCCCCAGCCAGAGTTAGGACAAGGGCGTCCTCCTTTCACATCGGACTTGAAGGCTGGGGCTGAGGGACAACCCGTGGTGTCTGAAGAGGTCGTGTTCCAAGACTTTAAAATAACATAACTAGAGTCCTCTCCAGAAAAACTTTGCTAAATGCCAATCAACTTTCTTGCTGGGCATGAGTGCCAGTAACACTGACATGCCAGCCGAAAGGAGCTTTCCATCCTGCAAACGGGTACACCGGAGTAATGCCACTAACTATGCTTTGGGGAGGGGCTTATATTTCCTTTTAATATTTTAATTACAAAGATTGACTAAGTGGTTTGAAACAGTCATTTAAAGTTGAGACAGACAAGATACATTAGAGGGAAGCAAATAAAGACAAATCTGTCCTATAAAGAGTCTAGAAAAATTCTTTGCAAAGCAAGCATTTTCAACAGAGAAAAGCAAACTCAAACAGTGGAGCAGTATGCTGCTGTTAACTGGTATTTACAAAGTGTGCGGTAATACAGGAAAAATATTTGAGTCACTACTATGCTAAGTAAAAAAAGCAGAATACAAAATATATACACAGAAAAACCCTACAATGTAGAAAAAGATGAAACTTTTACACAAGAAAAAAGAGATTATACAAAGAAACACCAATATTCAAGGTGGGTGATGGGACCATGGATTTTTTTCTCTTTCCTCCTATTACCAGGTATATTCCAAATTGTACATCACTAACAATAAAACTGAAAATAACAATGTTGTGAGATCTGTGCATAGAGCAAATTTAAAGTCACTTTCTAAGGACGCTGTGGGCTTTCTGTGACAGACCGTGTACATGAGTGCCCACGAGTGAAAGTGTCACTGTCAGGCTAGAGACCATCTCTCACCACCAGACAAGCCTGAACAATGCTGCCAAACTGCTTTTCATATTACAATTTACAACCACTGGCTATTTAGTATCTTGACCAACTGCAGGCTGTCTCCCACCCTTGCTCCTGAAAGGACTGAGGAAATACCACCGGTGCCAAAACAAGCTGGGCAACAGCACTTGGCTACAGTTCTCAGCACATCCACACACCTGCCTGCGAGGTGCTAGGATACCAATCCCATAACTACGTGGGTCTCGGCAGGCCAGACAGGAGGGTTTTTAAAGGAAAAGGGAGAGTGCAGGTGATACCTCGGGTTACACTCAGTCTGGTGAAATAGTTTCTAAATAAAACCTAGTATTTTCCGAAGCTTTTAGCCCTGCCCCTGCAACTAGCGTTTCTGCAAGTGAAATGCCTGCGTTTGTCAAGCCCTTCAGAAAGCTGACACCTTCAGCACATAAAAGCCATGCTTTGGCCTGAGCCCAGCCTCTCCTTCTCTGGCATGAGAATAGCAAATATCATCAGACATTTTCGATGTCGGTGCCATCACTACAGCACTAGAAAAGAGTAGGTATGCCAGAAAACAAAAGGCAACAAGGAAAAGGTATGTTTTTGTCCCCAGGCTTCTTTTCTGCAGCCAACTATACTGGCTTCAGCTGGATAACAAATTGTCCTGGAATTCTTGGCGACAGAGCAAACATGTCAGCTCCCTGGTTACGCCTTCGTCACTGCTCAAAGTACCACACACTTTAACCTCTCTGCTCTTTCCATAGGCCTGGGTTTGTCCTGTATCCAGGAAACTTTATATGTTGTCTAAACTGAGCATCCCAGCAGGCTGCAGGGCAGATGGCAGCTCAGGATTCCAAATGTTGACCAATTCCTACCTGGACCGACAGCACCGGGCTGTAACTCAGCCTGCCTGTGCAGAAATAGGAGCCCAGCAGCGTGGCTAATGGCTTTAACTGCTACTCTCAGCAGTGAGGAACTTCCCCAGCAGACAAGATTCAGAAGGGAACTGAAAGGAAAGCAATGTCAAGATTTATATACAGGGACAAACAGGTTTGACCAGATACGCAAGCCCATAAGCCCCCAAGGCCCAGCTAAGCCAGGAGCTAAAAGACCAGGTGTTGCTGACCTGCCCTCAAGTCCATGGGACCTCAGGTCACTAGCCTAGGACATTATGTAGAGCAACTAGACCCCACTCCAGATCTGTTTCTGTGTCACTAGATTCTCATAAGAGGTTTCTTACTCAAGTCAGGGAGCAAGCCAGGACATGCCCAAGGTAGCAGCTGAACCACATCATTCAATGCAGAACATAGGAAAAGAGCGAGGCACAGAGTGTGGAGCGTGACACTATTTGTGTAAAAATAAAAGGGAAGAGGTAGGAACCCTTAGTACGGAAGCCATCTCTGCAAGGGAACACCTGGCAGCACTATCTCTGGGGAGGGAGCAGCTGGAGGAAAAAGGGGAGATTTTGCCTTGGTAGCTTTCGAATTTAGAACCATGTGAATGCATAACCTTTCAAAGAACAAATTAAAATTAAAATGCAGTGCTATAGTCACATTGTTATAAAAAGAAAAATGCTCTAGATGTCTGTGCTCTATAAAAAGAATATATGACTGTTAACTATGGGTTACCCATGGGGGATGGGAATAGGGGAAGGAAGGAGATGTTCGTGTTTTGATATAATCAGTATTGTTCTGCTTCCAAAAGGCAGTATTACTTTTGTAATTTTTACTTTACAAAGGAAAAAAAAGAAGCATCTTCAAGAACTGCAACCTCGCCCTGGCCAGGTAGCTCTCAGTTGGTTAGAGCATCATCAGGATATGCCAAGGTTGTGGGTTCCATCCCTGGCCAGGGCACATACAAGAATCAGCCAATGAGTGTATAAACAAGTGGAGCAGCAAATCAATGTTTCTCTCCCTCTCCAAAAAAAACACACACAAAAAACTGCAACCTTACCTCCAAGAATCTCCCTTAGCACTTGTCCTGTCGGTCTCACATGGCTCAATCCCATCTTGTTTTACTATTACTCATGCACAGGTCTCACCTCTGTTAAATGATGGAGCAACTGTGACCACAGCCTGTCTACACCCAAGCTCTACTTTCCAATGACAAACTCTTTGGAAAAGAACCGGTAAGAACTAGTGCAGCAGTCAAGATGGCAACAAAGCAGTTAGACAAGAACAAAGCAATCAAGCAAAGAGTGAACAATGATCTGAGTGTGTAACTCAGCATAGGACCATCAGCAGAGGGAAACCATGACCAAGTCAAAACAACATGGAAAGCAAAGAGCTCTTCCCAGAAATTGTGGGAATTCCAACAATGCACATGTGCCAGGAACTTTGCCAAGTTGCCAAGCAAAGTGTGACAGTCAGATTTCTCAGAAATCAGTAAATCCCTTTGTTTAGAAAAACTGCAGTGACCTCTGAGTGTTGAGAGGCTCCTAGGACATGGCCTGAAGGGGTAAAGAACCTGAATTTCTCTGTAAAATAAGAGTGGAGAGAGTGTGCAAATGTTTCAGGGGAAATGGGAGGCTGTAGTAGAAAAATGAAGGTGGTATGAGGTCGTCCAGAGAGGATTAAATACTAGACAGACTGCTGAGAAGAGAGCACCACTGGAAAATTGAGGAATTCTGGGAAGCAAGCGGCGACGGCCACCTGCGTCTCAGCTCAGAATTACTCTGAATTAATTGTAATCCCTCTCTGTTGCTTCTACAAGACCGTCACGCATCACCACGCTGCCACGGGTGTTTCTGGAAGAGGCAACCCAGAGTGAAGCAAATGGGATGGAAGGAGCCACAGGTCCGTAATTCTCAGTAACGCTCCTTCCAAAGCCTCAGCTTGAGGGCCAGATTTATCCTCTTACCTAAACAACCAAACCCAAAAGATGGACAGCAAAAATGATACCAGATGGAAATACATGAGTGACAGTGAACTGTTAGAAGGGAAAGGCTAGTAGCGGTAGGGAGAAAAGCTACACAGAACAGAGAGGGGATCAAGAGATGAATGGAAGTAAAAAACCTAAGCAAGAGGTGACCAGGGAAAAAAAAAACTAAGCCCCCCTGAGAAGCCACAAGAGATGTGAGGACTGCGGTCGAGTACAAGGGATGGGGAACTCTGTCTCCGCCTGGGGCGGATACCTGGGTGCCTCCTTAACTTCCCTTCCACTTACTCTCCACTTCCAATCCGCTAGCAAGTCACGTCAGTTACAGCTTCAAAATCCATTCAGAATCCAGCCGTTTCTCGCCACCTCCACTGCCAGCGGAGCCCGGGCCACTATCGGCTCACCCAGACACCCAGACGCCCAGACACCCAGACAGCGGCAAGAGCCGCCTCAGCCTCCCCGCTTCCCACCTCACATGCCCGCCGCCCGCCCGTCTCCACACAGCAGTCGGCCAGGGAAACACTTATCACCTGGCAGGACAGTGTCTTGCTTACTGTCTCCCGTCATAAAAGGTAAGATCCATGAAGCAAGATGTTCTATTTTTGTTCCCTGCTGTATTCCTAGAGACTAGCACAATGCCAAGTTATATGTAGTTGGCACCAAATTACTATTTGTTACATGAACTACATGAGTAGTTACGGAACTGTACACCATACACGTCTAGTAGTAAATAAAGGAACCATATTTTGCATCAGTTTGTGGGCCTTCGGGAGGCCCAGGGACCTACAAGTAGTATCTTGCTGAATCTACAATGGCTAGTACATGATGCTCACTGAATGAGTAAACAAAAGGAATATCAAATAGGTTTAATATTATATATGGTGCCCAGGACTGGCCAGGGCAGAATATGACTGTTATAGAGCAGAGTTCATAAATAATGTCAAGTCTAAAAGAAAATATACTATTTAACATGGACCAAGCAAGTTCTGTGTCAGCTACAAGAAATACAGAGATACTAAGATAATCTTAGATAGACGTGACTTTACTAGTTTGTAAACAAGTGCAAATAACTCAGTGGTGTAACTGCTGTATTGGAGACACACACAAGAAACATTTGGGAGGTGCCACAAAAGAAGTGATCATCCTTAGCTAAGGAGGTCAGATGGTCAAGGAAGGAGTTATAAAAAAGATGTTACTTGAGCTGTCTTATAGGAAGAGTTCACCAGATGAGAAAGAGCACATTGAGGGAAGGCACTCTGTGCGAAGGCATAACATTGGAAGGCCTTCCAGAGTGGTTCCTAGGAGGAAGTCAACAAATGTGGAAGGGTATTCTGACATAAGACAGAAAAAAGGTACAAAGCACTTTCCTTTAGAGACAGAACCTATGCTTTAAAAAGTTCCGGGACACTCCTCTCAAAATACCCATTTTGGCAACAAGATGGCACCTCCAGAGGGGCTTGACAAATTTTAAAACATCAAATAACAAAAACAAGGAGGGGAAGACAAACATATTTACTGCAGTCCAGGTTACTGGAAGACTTAAACCCTGGGATGCATGGCATTCCTGTTATCAGCACGATAAGGGAAGAATGTGCCTTAGCAGCAGCTCTGCCGGGAGCTTGCCGACGGCTGCTGTGAGCTTCCAGCAGCCCAGGAGGCCTTCTTCCTCGACGTGCAGTTAATGAGGCTTCCCCTCGTAGCAAAGGGCTCCTTAACTCTATATTCATTCTATGCAAAGAGGAAAAAATCTGATATACTGACTGCTCCTCATTGAAGCCATGACTTAAATCCTATCTCAGTATTTATCTTTATTTTCTGATTTAAAATGGGGGGGAGGGGGAGTAGAAATTACATAGTGCTGATATAAAGACTTTAAATTCTGGTCAAAGTTAAAACCCATTTTAAAAGTCAACTGATGGTTCAAAGGAAATAACTACATGGAGTCTGATCGAGATATATATGAGTTGAGTCTCATTATTAGCTTCAATAATGCAGGATAACAGTTCTCAACAAAACGAGAGTCCACACTTGTTAGGTAGGCTCTGTTGGGCACGGGGAGGTAAAAGTCTGAAGAAATGGGTTCTCTCCATGGCCCCCGGAGAAAAGTTCCATGCCCCTGGGAAAAAGAAAGAAGGCTCCTGGCTTGATGGAAAAAGCAGCTCCTGTTCCCAGGTGGTGTCTGCAGCTCACAGTCGAGTTCAGCAGTGGAATCGAGTGGAGAACTTGGGAGATACAGGCACAGTCAGAGGCTGGTCACTTGACTTTATCTCCACACCCTGGTACTTGCGTATTGGGTTTGCCTTGTGCACCTACAAAGTAAGGAAAATAAAGTCATCACTGGTAAGGATGATAGAAAACTACGCTTGTAGTTGTTTGTTGTTGTTTTTCCTGAGAAAATGTTCGTAGTTTTACAGATCCCAGTCACTAATTCAGGGGGTGGGGGGCAACACAGTATAAGGGAAAAGCACATGAGCTTTGGAGCCCAAGTAGGTTTCTGTTCAGGTCTTGCTGGATCCCTAGGCTGACACTAAAGAACAGCAAGCCTCTCTCCTGTTTGAGTGGTCATTACTAGGGCGTGATGGCGCTACACTCAACTGCAGCAGAGGAGACACATGTTAAGAACTGGCTAGAGTATAGTATCAAGCTTACGGAGTCTTAATATTTACCAAAAGCATAGGCCAAAACAAACAAACAAACAAACAAAAAACAGTAACTAGCAAGGGTTGCTGGGAGAATGCCTGTTCCCATCCATCTTCTGGGCAGTCTAAAATCAATCCTAAAGCAAACCAGACTAACAGCTAATGAGAATCAAAAGAACTGTGCTACCAGCCTATACTTGGAGTCACTGTAAGAAATGGTTCCATGATGGGGACAAACACAAGAAGCAGGTACCAAGTGTTGAAGAAAAAGCAAAGGGCCTGAGGGTGGAAAAAAGGTTGGTTTTGTGCGTGTATCTGGAGTGAGGATTGCAGTTTTTCTTCATTCAATTAGAAAATGGTAGCTTGAATTTTGCCAAGAAGCTAGACCCTTTAACAGTTCATCCTTAGAGCGTTCCAGCAGCCAGTCACTGCGAACCGCTGTACCAGCTGCCGGCTTAGCACTTTTAGACAAAACCTCAACAACTTACGTATTTCTATATTCATTCTTTTATTAATCATATGAAGTTCCACCTAAAACTGTCTACTTCCTCATTGATGCAGTTAATGTGGCTTTGCCCTCCTAGTGAAAGGGTCCTTAATGTGAATTAAGCTTACTTATTGGATAACTAACATTTAAATCATTATGCTAGTGTTAGCACAGAGGGTCATGTGAACCGATATGCACTATAACTCCAAGGAATTTGAGTGAAGTATTAAGAGGGAAACGAAAACACAGTTACCGTCCAATTCTCATGTCCTTCCCTAATTATGTATTCTTGTCTAATTATAAAATACACTGGTTTTCTTAAGCCTTCAGAAGTAGTAAAACTACATTAAACAGTGCACCACTGTGCAGTTATGCCATGATTTCCTCCTTATGAAGATCCCTGGAAGAACTCTGAGCCCAATACTAAGGATAAATGTATCTTTTTAAATAGCTAGCTTGTTTTTATCTCATGAATTTTGTGAGTCTTGTAACTGACAGGTTGGGTCCTAAAAAGGGACAGAATTATGACTCAAACTTAGCAGATACATGGATCACAATGTATACATCTCATTCACATCTCCACTTTGTCACCACCCTTGATTTGTGTGACTTCTCGCTTTCCCTCATCTTTGATGTGTCCTTGTTGCCACCTTAGATCCCGTCTGAAACAAGACGAGATACAAATAAAAAAACAACAACAGACAACCGTGGGTTAGTCAGCGCTCCCGCTGCCAGTTACCAGTTCTTTCCGTAGCCTGGCCAGCTCCTTCCTCTGCTGCTCTTCCTCCTGCTGCCTGGCCTCCTCCAGCTGCTGGGCTTTCTGGGCTTCTACCTCAGCCATTTTCTTCTCCATCTCTTGCCGCTCCTTGGCTCTCTTCTCAGTGGCCAGCTGAAAAGGTTCCTGAACTAGAGAACCAGAAAGGCCCTCTGAGTACAGAAACAGAGAGAATATTGGTACACAGGACTTGCATAAACCTGGCTCCCACAGAGCCAGCAAGAGGCACAGATACACAAGGCAATACAAAGGCTGAGCACGAAGGAAGCCTTATTGAAAGAAAGGTGGAGTCTTAGAATTTTAAGAGTTGCAAGGGCCCCTGGAAATCAACTAATTAGGAGAAAAGCAAGGGCCATGCAGGTGAAGTAGCTTGCTCAAAACCACACAGTGATTTTCAGACAGACAGATGTAGAAGTTTCCCACTTTTCTGACAACCTGCCCAGTGCTTAAGGAATCAAATGTCTTGTATCTTAGGCTTGCTTTAGGGTAAACTCCAGAAAGAGGTCCTGGTTCTCCCTCCCTCACTTACTGATTACTCTTTAGGTGGGCAAAGCCTGTAACTGTTATTGAAATGCTAGTTGCCCCTGCCCAGATTCTTGCTCTATGAATCTGGCCCCAATACATTCTGCAACTCAACATAGGTGCTGGGTTCAACAAAGGCAAAGGACTGCATCTAGGGGGAGAAACACTAGATCCTCTACAGGCAAATGCTTCTGGCTGACACAGCATTATACGAACACAACTGAGTCCCAGGCATTCCCCCTGTGAAGTTGGACAATGTTGCCCCCAAACTCCCAGGAGTATATATAATACTACCGGTTAGGGATTTTTTCTCTTTCTTGGGAACAAAGGGCTCCTGGAAGATGACGGTGTTTGGACGAGCCTTGAAGCAAGTTGCTTCTTTCTGCTGTTTCAGTTCTTCCTCCAGCTATTAGAAAGAAAGTCTGTCAGACAACTTGCCATGACTATCACCTCCATGACTCAAGTTCTAGTGTTTCTAACTGCTTCATCAATAAAAACAGCAGATGATTTTATCTAAACCCCAGTTAAAAGCCCTCTACAATGAGATCAGACTGACAATACCTAAACCCACAATACCTAAACCAAACTTACCTATGAATAGCCTACTCTTGACTGGAAACCTTACTGATAACATAGTTAATTAACACATATTTTGTATGTCTATGTATTACATACTGTATTCTTACAGTAAATTAAGCTAGAGAAAAGAAAATGTTACTAAGAAAATAAAGAAGAGAAAATATATTTACAGTATTTACTGAAAAAATCCACACATAAGTGGACCTGTACAGTTCAAATTCCTGTTGATCAAGGGTCAACTATAATTTTAAGGCCTTATCTTAACATCCACCCCAAAGTAGAGATTATATACCCCCAAATGTGATCACCTATAAAATATTTTCCATCCCAACATCCCCCAAAATCCTTACCAGAATTTAATCAAGCCTCTATAGACAAGCCTATAGATTAAGAGGGATTTACAGGCTTATCAAACAAATGCAACACGTGGACCTTACCTGGATCCTGATTTGAACTGCTTAAAAACATTAAGAGAGACTTGGGGGTATTTAAATGCTGATTATTTGACACTATTAAGGGACTTCTGTTAATGTTTTTACTACAATAATAGTATCATGATTATCTATTTTTAATCTTTATATTTTAAAGATACACACTGAAGTGTTTTAGATGAAATGAGATGACACCTAGCGTTTGCTTCAAAGTAATCCTGTGTAGGTAGAAGCATCTAGTGTAGAGATAAGTAGATAGAAGTATAGATGAAATAGGACTTTCTGTTTTGATCACTACAGAACCAGGTTACAGGTTCATGAAAATTGATAATAATATTAACTTTTGTATATATGTCTGAAAAACTTTAAAAAATTTTTTTATTACAGAAAATACCCCCCACAGACATTCTGTGTCGTGGTCCTTGAAAGAGATTCACCTGTACCTTCCAAGCAACAGTCCCAAGTTTTCCTAGAAAACAATACCAACAAGAGGCCTATGCTCAGTCATGTTAGCAGTCACATTTCTTGAGCTTCAAGAAGGGTGACTTCCTACAAAAATTAGCCCAGAGCTCCTTTTGGACAGAGTCCAAGATAAGTGATAATATAAAAACACCTACAAACTTAGGGATTCAGGAAAACTTTTTTCCAGATAGGGCAGGATTAGATTCTATTTAAACCAGCCAACACCAATTAATTGTTTTTACTACCTGTCATCTACAAAGAGCAACTATGTTGATCAAACATCATACCACATTGAGAATCTATTCTCACCATTCTATTTTTTTTTTTTAAATATATCTTTACTGATTTCAGAGAGAGGAAAGGAAGGGGAGAGAGAGAGATAGAAACATCAATGATGGGAGAGTCATTGATCGGCTGCAGCCCACAACCCGGGCATGTGCCCTGACCGGGAATCGAATCCCGATCGCCTGGATCCTAGGTCGATGTTCAACCGCTGAGCCATGCCCGGCTGGGCTCACCATTCTATTTCTTATCAAAGCACCAAGAGAAACAAGTGAACATTTAATAAACAAGTCTAATATAAAGAAACTCCTGATGCAAAAAAAGCCTGTCAGTTCTCACAATCCCCAGATGAGCACTTAGAGCCAGGATCAGCAAACTTCAGCTAGTTTATAACTTATTTTTGCACAGTCCTTGAGCATTATAATTTTAAGGAGTTGAAACACACACATACAATTTATGACAGAGATCATATGTAGCCTACAAAACCTAAAATACATATTTACTATCTGGTTTTTCAAAGAAAAAGGTTGCTGACCCTAGATTTAGAGCAGAGACTCTGCAACAATCCAGTGTGTTAGCCCCCAGATGGGTTTCAATATAGTGGGTCTACTCATTCTTACAAACCAACAACAAGCCATTAACTTCTTAGCTGCTCTCCCAACCCCTCACCTGGTGCTTCCAAGTCTCTGCCTTCATAGCACCTCTTTTGTCAGTCTCCAGACAGAAAGGCTCAATCTGGGTTGCACTCTTCACCTTCTTCTCTGGCAGGTTAATGGTGTCAAAATCAGGCAAAAGAAGCGCCTTGAACTTGGGCACCTGATAGAAAAGAAAACATAAGATTTAGGATAAGGCCTTTCTAGACAGAAAGCAATAGCTGTGCCAGGATATTTAGATGAATCTAAATCTAAAAAATAGAAAAGGCCAGTTTTCAAAGCGGCACGGTGCAGCAGAAAGAGTAATGGGCTAGAGAGGAAACCTAGATTTTCCTCCCAATATTGCCAGCAATAGCAAACATAATCATGGGCAAGTCACTTAACCTCCTTGTGCCAGATAGGTTATCAAAATTACTTACCTTTTTTATACTTCATAAGGTTGTTATGAAAGGATCAAAGGAAGTCAGTTTTATAAAAGTGCAACATAAAAGATAATCTTTGAAGGATTAAAGAATAGTATTATTCTACCCATAGAAATGGAAACACCTACCTCCCCTTTCTGCAGTTCTTTTATTTTCTTCTCCTTCTGTAACTGACGTTCTTTGTCTCGAGAATCAAAAGAGAAAGGGCATATTTCCACAGTTTTTGTTTCTGGGATATGGGGCTTAAAAGGCACCCCAAAATGTGGTGGAGGTTGAGCTCTTCTTATCACTACTGGCTCCTCTTCCTATGAGAAAAAATGCAGTTTAGAAACAAGAATGTTCACTCTTACCTCCTCAAACTGGGAAGTCAGAAGACATTCTATGACAGAAGTCATTACTTAAGGCAAGTTACTCAACCTCTTAGGTGTCTTAGTTTCCTTGTTTATCAAAGTCAGCTACCAACTCACAAGGGTGAGACCAATGTGAAAGTACTTGCTAAAGGACTAACACAATCACTCTTAAAGGATCTAAAGTCTTTCACAGGAAGGTATTAAGAACTAAATGAGATCAGTGTGAATAAAATGAAGAGAAGATACTAAGCAAGCACACACCTTGGCGTCCTCTTTGACTCACCCTCCATCTAGACGCCACTAAAACATGTGACTGGGAGTTAATGGGTTGTCAAACCCAGAATAGGACCAAGTAAATTGTTTGGGTTCAAGCTAGTAACATAAGATTACAGTATATTTTAGTTTCAAATGAATCTATAAAAAGGCTTATGCTTGAGATCTGCTATAAAATTACCCTAACTCTGGTATTTAGATAAAATGGAGATGTAACAAGAAACTAGCCTGATCAATGACAGTTTATGTATTCCAGTTTCATGAACCATCATCGCAGTCACCTTTGCAACCCTTGGGTTAATGGAGATAGGAGAGGGTGAATGTGACTGCCTGGTGTGAATTTTAAAAGTCCCTCAGTGCCCTGGCTGGGTAGCTCAGTTGGTTAGAGCGTCCTCCCAATACGCCAAGGTTGCAGGGCCAATCTCCAGTCAGGGCACATACAAGAAGCAACCGATGAACGCATACATAAGTGGAGCAACAAATCGATGTTTCTCTCACTCCCCTTCCTCCCTCTCTCTAAAGTCAATAAATAAAGTGGTTTTTTTTCCACAGTCCCTGTGAATGGTGACAACAGCTAAGGCAAAATAGAGTATAGGGATTGGCAACTTTTGATCCATGTTACAATGATGGGCTGATTTTCAATGTTATACAAATGGACAGTCCTCAAATAGGCTGCAAAGAATTACTACTGCAAGCCAGGCGATTCACACCAACTACTTTGCTCTTGAAGGAGCAAAAGAGATGATGAAATGTTTATGCCCACTGTGAAAGACAACTCCAGACACGAGTGACTATCTTTGAATTCCATAAAGCTTTAGGAAAGAGCATGGCTTAGACTGATTATGCAGAAGGAGAAGAAAGCCCCATCCCAAGGAATCACCTCATCGTTGGTGGGCATTCGGATTCTGTTCTTTAATGCAAAGGCCGGTGATTTGGGGACAGTGATTGGAAGTACTTTCTTTTCAGGAACACCCTGGAAGGAGTAAACAACTCAATGAGACATCCCAGAACAATCTTTACTAGTTAAGATTAAATCCCTTTGTTAATGGGAAGTTCACATACCAGGAATCAAAAAAGGCTAGTATTTCAGTATGTTGTTATTTACCTAAGACAAAGGCGTATCTGATTTGTGGTAGCACTCCAAGGGTAGAGTATCACAATAGAGGAGCAGCAAATACTAAGGACATAGTTTGTATATTCAGTAAAAATAGAATTCATCAAAATCTTTTTTTTTGGAATTCATGAAAAATACAACAGAAAACAAACTAATGCCAATATTTTGTTGTTTTTCTTTCTACACCCCAACCCCTCAAAAACAAAATAAAAAGATGTCCCTTTCATAAGCACTTTCTGATTCTCATAGATTTTATACTCTATGACAAATCTGGCAATTAACACTAACTACAAAATGTTATCTCTTAGGCTGTTTTGAATGAAATCTATGACCAGATCAATTTTAAATCCTCTCTCACACCTTATGTTGCCCATCAGCTCTCTATTCTGCCTCCTCTCTAACTCTTCCCTGCTCTACCACAGGAAACATCATCAACGGCCTATACCACTCACCAGCCTTCTAATAGTCTTTTCAACTTCTCATTTCTCCAATCCATCCTCTCTATATAGTCAGAATTCTTTCTCAAAACACATCTGATAACATTACTTCCAGACTAAAGAATTTTTTAATGGCTCCTACCACCTACCTACAACACTACAAATGCCCTGGCATTTGTTATGAAGTACTAGGTGCTTCATAATCTAGTACCCTGCCTGACTCTCCAGCCTTCTCTCTCACCCCTCCTTACCCATGACCGTCCAACCACAATGAACTACTGGCAGCTACCAAAATGTAACACTGGTTTACAACCCAACACTTTTCCTTATGTGCTCTCAGCTGCTTAAAAGTACTTAACTACTCTTCTTTTCAAGCCTCTACTGAAGCATCTCTTCTTTATAAAGCCTTTCAATAGATCTCTCCAACTCCCAGAACCTACAGAACTAACCCTCTCTCCCTGTGTATAGTTCTACCACAGTACATACAGAACTTCACTGCGCTTGTTTATTTAGATGGTCATCTGCTTGTGTTAGCCTATGAGTGCTTTGAGAGTGCAGACTGGTATTCCATCAATCCCTAGCACCTAACATGGACCCTGGGAAGTATAAGGCCAAATATTCAGTAAATGTTTGTTGAACGAATATAGCAAGAATAACAGAACTTATACCTTGGACTCTTAAGATTCTTTGACTCTAATTTACATCTTGAGAGACTTCTTAATCCCAAAAATGCTGCAATGCTCAAAACATCTTTGGAATGTCTTTCTTGGAGTGGCTTGCAAAGCCACTTTTGGGACCATGCAAGGTAGTCACTCAATCTTTACCTTTAATTAAACAAAACTGTTTCCAGACCTATTATCTTAGACTACTCTGAAATTTTAGTTCCAAATTACTTTAGACCAGCTTCTAAAAGCAAATTAATCTTTGAAATATGAAGAGTTGCCATTACTGAAGAGATCCAAAAGACTGTGCTACAGGATCTAAGACAAGTCGCTTTCCTAAAATGCTTTGTACAATATCAATCACTGCAAAAATTTATACCCTCCTATGGTAACCTCTGTGAAAGTTCATTTATGTTTCCTAAATAAAGCCAGGATCTCTAGCACAGTGAACCCCAATATAGCAGAACTTGTCATCTGAATGACAAAAGTCTATGAAATGGTGTTTTCAGATGCTTGCCATAAAACAACAAAATCTGTTGTACAACATCCTAGACAAGTGGACACCAGCCTCTTGCTTGAACATACCCAGGACATGTGGGAATAAGAAGAACGCTGAACAGGGAGCCAGAGATCTGTTTTCCCACAGCTCTGATTCCAACTGCTACAATCCTACACACATTAGATAGCCTTCAGACCTCGGATTTTTGTGTTTTTTTTCTTTCCATTAAACAAAGTATTGGAAATAAATACCTGAGGACTCATTCTGTTCTAAAATAATGCCGCTTTTCCTGTTTTTCCCCTCTCTAAATCCATCCAGCAGGGATGTGCATTTTAAAAGAAAAACAATGGGGGAGGCCTTGGCCAGGTAGCTCAATTGGTTAGAGCATCATCCTGATGTGGCAAGGCTGTGGGTTCAATCCCCGGTCATAGCACATACAAGAATCAACCAATGAATGCATAAAAAAGTGGAACAACAAACTGATGTCTCTCTCCCCCTTCCTCTCTCTCTCTAAAATCAATTAAAAAAATTTTTTTTAAAGAAAAGCAATGGAAACCTCTAATAAATAAGCCATGAAAGAGATATTTACCAGTGGGATCAATCCTCATAATTAGCTGGGAGAGGGAATAATGATTTATGAAAAACAACTTTGGCCCGGCCGGGTGTGGCTCAGCGGTTGAGTTTTGACCTAGGATCCAGGCGATCAGAGTTCGATTCCCGGTCAGGGCACATGCCCGGGTTGCAGGCTCGATCCCCAGTTGGGGGTGTGCAGGAGGCAACCAATCAGTGACTCTCTTATCATTGATGTTTCTATCTCTCTCCCTCTCCTTTCCTCTATCTGGAATCAATAAAGATATATTTTTTAAAAAAAAGAAAATCAACTTTGCAGCAACCATCTACCCACACCCCATTCTCCACGGCAGTCAAAGCCAGCTGGGGACTCAATCAGAAATTAAAAAAAGGAAACTGGGTTTTTAGAAAAAAGGCTTCTTGTTTTGCTATTTTAAGTCTTTTTAGTTATAACCTTGAGGTCAGGGATGTTGCCATTTGCATTCCATTGCATTCTCTAAGACACCTACAAGAAGTAAATGTTCAATGAACACAAGGTCGATTAATTTGTTTATATCTCAATCTGCTCTACCAGACTGAAGGCTGTTTCACATTCCATCTCCGGGTTCCCAGTGTCTAACAGGCTCGACACACAGGCTGGAGCACTTCAGCTTGTGCCGTCATTCACTCAGTTACCCAGTGCTGGACGGCCTATGCTGTGATGCTAGGTTCTGGGGATATAGAAGTGAACTGTGCAGATATGCAGGGCCCTGCTCTCAGAGAGCTCACATTCTACTGGAGGAAAGAGAATGAAAATGTAACAAATCTATTATTTCCTGATTTTCACAGGTGCTCTAAAGAAGCCTAGCAGAATATGGAACTAAAGTAGAATGGGGTAAGCATGTCTCCATAAGGCAGAATATGCCCCCAAGTCCCCTGGGACAAGTTCTCAGGCCTATCCCAGAGAAGTTAGGAAATTACTGTGAAGCAGTGTTATTTCAGGGTATATGGGGGAGAAAAAAAAGCATGCTGGTCTCCCCAACTCATCCCTAAAATATCACTGCTAAAATTACTCACTGGCCTCACTGACACCATATCCACCTCTGTGGTGCCTGAGCTCCCCCACTAGATGTCGGCACCAAGTTCACATTTCACACCCTGGAGCTCAAGGCTTTCATCACTCCACCTCTCTCCCAAGAGCCCTTATTTCATCTCTGCCTCCTGGCCCACTGCTGCCCAAGCCCGTTGTCTCCTTGCCACCTATCAACCACAGGCGGGAGAGCACAAGAAACATCGTAAGGACACAGAGACAACAAGCTTAAGCACCCAGAGGACATGAATGGGAAACAGTGGCAGACAGACTAGCTGCATTTGGGTTCTGGGAAGCAGGCTCTTCTGTGCTACTATAAAAGTCCAAGGCTAGAAGTTAAGAGACCTAATCTCAGTTCTGCCAACTTTCAAAAGTGGGCAAGCCACATTCCTCTTCCACAGCCTCACTTTCTAAAAAATGAAGAGCGTGAAAGAGAATGTCTCCTGTGCTTTGCTTTTCTCAACCATGAGTTGAAGTGAAATCACTGGAATGTTGGGAGAGCCACAAACAGCTAGCATCAAACTCAAAAACGGTGTTTGCCAAAATAAGCAATGATAACAGCACTGTGGGGCAGGATGATAGTGCTTAAGATGACAGTTCAAATCCTGGTTCTGCATACTAGATACCTCTTAGTGTCTCTTTCCTCATCTGAAAAATAGGTATAAAAATAGAACCTACTCTTAAGAGTTGTTATAAGAAATGAAGATAATCTACATAAAACACTCAGAAAATAAAAACACTCAGTACAATGTAAGTATGCAATAAAGTAGTTATTACTATTAACAATATGACTGCTTTAGTGTGTCGGACACTAAATTCTTCACTGGGCTGCCTCTAATCTATGCTGCACCCAACAAATAAAAAACTCCAGAGGTGGGGCCCAGGAATCTGTTTACGTAATAAGATCCCCAGAGGATTCTGAGAACCAGCTGGATTTGGCAAACACTTCCCTGCAGCATAGCACTTCAACTCAGTTGCACACTTACTTAACCTAGTGCTTCGATGATTTGTTTATCCAGAATTCTCAACAAGGCATAACCTGGTACAACACTACTCTAAGATCTCAACTAACAACTAATGAACTCTAGTCACCCTCCCCCAATTAACACTTCTCCCAAGTATTTCCAAAGCACAACAAACTGCCAAACCGATTTCCTAAATCAATGTTTCTACAAGTGGAGTTCAGGTACTACTGGTGATATGAAAGAGGATGTTAGGTGGATATAGACTTTTTATTTTTTAATAATCACTTATTTTCTTAAGAACCTTCTATTTTATTCAAGAATGCTCCAAGAGTATGGACCCTGGAACCACACTACCTAGATTCAAATCCTAGCTCTGGCATTGGCTAGTTTATTATCTGGGGCACATTACTGAACCTCTACACTTCCTAACCATAAAATGGATGGATAATACTACCTATAATGTTTACCACATAGGGTTATTATAAGAATTAAGTATTAAATAAAGAGCTTAGAATAAAACATGGTACATAATAAACTTAATATAAGTAGTAGCTACTATTGTTACTCATGGCAAAAAGTACTGCTTTTCCATTTACATAATGATTTAAATGTTTCCTTTAAAATCACTTTAAAAATGAGTTGATCTTAAGAATATATAGTCAATATTGGTACATGAGATACAAGGATATAGCAAAAATGGAAAGGGTGGTATGTGAATAAAACACCAAAAACCTGCAGCAGGGGAAGCCAGGAGCTTGGGAGATGTTATTAAAGCAAGGTGCCAGGTGAATGCTATAGAAGCCTTGAGAAAGTCATTTTCTCCTCTGGGCCTCAGTTTTCTAGTGTGTAAAATAAAAACACTGAGCAAGCCCTTCTGGCTCTAGGATTCTGAAGTCTGCACATAAACCTGCATTTCCTTTGTTGTATTCAGAACTCTGTTTGCTCAGTGGGTAATGACCAATGTGCCACAGCTTTTACAGGCCAGTCACTTGGGTGGGAAGAGTTTTCCTTAAAGTTTGTATAACAGAGTTTAACCTTATAGTACACGTGCATCATAGCAAGAAAAGAAAAAGGAAAAAACACACCATCATGAATAGAAAAGAGGTCTCATGCAGAAAGCTCTCAGGTGAAAGACATGGGGTGGGAAGAGGGGAAGAACCATTTCTAAGCATTATGATGCCTGACTTCTTCTCCTTGCTCCACCATTTACTAGCTGAGCGTCCTAGGAATGTTACTCAACCTGTGTGTGCCTCAACTGCCTCATCTCAAACCGATGATAATTAGAGTAAGCCACCTGGAGGGCCCATGGTCAAAATGAATATATGAAAAGGGCTTAGGGCAGTTCCTGGCACATTCTGAAAGCGTCAGCTATTATGACAGTGACAACATGATGATGACGAGAACGACTACTACTACTACACATTGTCAAGGATCAAGTCAAATGCTTCCTCCTCCCAAAACCATCCCTAAACCTTCGCCCTGGAAGAAATTATCTCCTTTGATTTCCTCTAGTTCTTCTGTCATCTCTCTTAGAACACTTCTGTCTCGTTTCCTATTATTTACACATATGCTGTTTCCCTTATTTAAGTCTCCTGAGAACAAAATCCACCTATGATATGTCTCTTTATCACCTATACCTTCTAATATGATGCCCTAATCACAGTATATATTCAAACATGGATAAGATGTTTGGTCATGAGCAGGACAATTCTGCCAGCATGCAGGGCCTCGACCATTCTTACCACAACATCTTCCAAGATCTTAGTCGGACAAGGTCTGGAATGAAATTCAAAGTGTTCATCCTCTGATTTCTTCTTTGACTCACGCTCCTGGATTCTTTTCTCAATTTCCAAATCAAAGCCAATAGGCTGAGTGGGTGGCTTCACAGGTGGTTTCTTGGGCAAGATGGGCCCACCTTCAAGAATTCTGGGATCCAGTTCCCGTGCTTTGAATTTATATCTGTAAGATGAGAGTTTAAATGAAAACCACACAAAAAAATTTTTTTTAATAAAATAAAAACTACATAAACAACAAAATAGGCCAAAACAGAAAAACAATAATCATTAAGCTTAGCCACCATGCAGAGAAAAATTTCTCTCCATAATCATCATCTCTACCTCTAGGGCAAAGAATCTGTAAGAAAGTCCTAACATCTCAACCACTTTAGAGAAGAGGGTTTCCCTTCACAGAGGAAGTTCCCCCTTCTCAAAAGAAATGGAGGAGGACCCAGGAGACAAACTCCAGTGCTAACCACATTAAGTTGCAATTTCCTCCCTTGGACAATCCCTTGGGCAGCCATGAAAGAGTAGGATCTCCCTAAACTAACCTCAGAGGACACTTTCTAATTGGAATCAATAGTAAGTTCTACCACCCCAACCTCTGCATTACATGTTACCAGTTCACACTCCAGGACATCTCCATATTCCCACTTTCAAACCTTTAATCAAAGGCAGGGGGGCACAGCCTTCAGAGCTGGTAACTCAAATGCCGTAAATTCCCAAGGTATGAAAAAATAGCAACTGTACCCTTACAGACCTGAAAAGAGAGTAGGGAGGTTCTTGGAACTCTTCCTCAAATACTGCCAGTGGTACTTACTGCTGTAGTTTCTCCAGCTCCTCAGCCTCCTGATCCGCTGCACTTTTGCAGGTCACAGGCCTTGTGCGCTGTTTAGTTTGCAACACAGGAGTCTGTGGGTCTCTGGAAATCTTGGCCACAGCAGGTTTGGAGGGTAACAGATCTGTAAACCGAGATCAGAGGCATTCACCTAGCTCCCCCAAACCCCATTTACCTGTAGGTGCTGACTCACCTTGGCAGCCCAGAGATACCCCATCACAGAGTGGCTGGCCCTCCACACTCAGCTCAGTTCACATCAGTCAACCTAACACACATGCAGTCCCTTGTTCCCCATCACTCTTTATTGCAGGGTATGAGGAAGGTAGCCTTTGGGTAAACTCTACTATTATCTTCTGAACTTAAACCACCCAAGTCTGATGAATTCCTTATCACAGCACAGGCGTAAACTGCCTTTCTATTGGCAGTGCCAACTATTTTGCTTGTTATTGACAAGTAAGAATTTTACTTATTCCAGCTTTAAAAATAAGGCCTTTCTAAAGACCAAGTAATAAGTCCCAATATTATAAACTCCCTAAAAGCATATATATCAAGGCTACCTCACCCAGAAAGTCAAATGGAGAAAGTAAAAAAACTATGTCGAGCCCGGCCGGGCATGGCTCGGTGGTTAAGCGTTGACCTACGATCCAGGCGATCGGGGTTCGATTCCCGGTCAGGGCACATGCCCGGGTTGTGGGCTGCAGCCAATCAATGACTCTCTCATCATTGATGTTTCTATCTCTCTCTCCCTCTCCTTTCCTCTCTCTGAAATCAATAAAGATATATTTAAAAAATAATAAAAAAATAAAAATGAGCAAGTGTAAACATTAAAAAAAAAAAAACTATGTCGAAGCATCAATGTTAAGACTATCACCCAATGTTACCCAATAAATTCAATAAAAAATTTTTTTTAAAAAAGACCATCACTACCACTCACAGAAAATACTGATTTGCCAGGTCAGGGGCAACTGTGTCAATTTTATTCATAATTGTACAGAATGAGTCGTCTAATTTAGACCTATTACATAAGGAGGTAGAAACCAAATCTATTTCTTTTATAAAGAAGCCAGCCTTTGCCCAGCTGGCGTGGCTCAGCAGTTGAACACCAACCTATGATCCAGGAGACAGAGGTTCAATTTCTGGTCAGGGCACATGCCCGGGTTGTGTGCTCAATTTCCAGCAGGGGGTGTGCAGGAGGCAGCTGATGAGTGATGACTCTCTCATCATTAATGTTTCTCTCTCTCTCTCTCCCTTCCTCTGAAATCAATATATATTAAAAAAAAGAAAAGAAAGAAATGCTCAACAATACATTAGTAGTCTGCATATAAGCACGTGCGATACTTTCGTTCAAAAACTAGGATTTCAACTAAAGGCAAATTTGCATCTAAGATGTAAGCAAAAGGATTCTAGGGGAGCCTCCAGCCAGCTAGGATATTGGTAAGAAACTTACTAATATCATCCTTCTTGCTCCTCAAGTGATATCTGTTAGGGGTTCTTTTATAGAAGGCTTCGACCTGCTGTGCAATAGGTACATATGGAGATGTTTCATCAAATTTTCTTTTCTTTCCTTGGGACAGGTTGAAAGGCTTTATAATGGTGCATCCCTTAGCCACTCTGGCCTGTAGAGAAAGTTGTTCCCCAAATGAAACGTTATGGAAGCTCAGATCTACCACAAGTCACATATTCAACAGAAAGAATCAAAAGAAAAAGGGCCTGTGTAAAACCACGATTATTACTCTCAAGTCTGTCAGTCCTTGAGCACGGGTTAGTCTATTACTGTCTTTGAAAAAAAAAGAAGCCATCTTTGGGGGAAAAAAGGGAAGAAAGAATCTAGCAATTAGCACACTGCTCTATAATAGTACATAAAGTGATTTTTCACAAGTGTGTTAATGTTTTGAAACAATCAAGAGCAAATCTTCTTACAATTAGGAGGAACCAAAAAAAAAAAAAAATGAAAAGGCACCCTATCCCAATCCCATTAAAAAAATTTATTAGGCTTCTGGGAGTGGATCAGGTCAGGCAGCTCTCTGAATCAGCCTCATACACACCATTCCCAAAAACTGATTGATGAAGAAGCCAACTCCTTGGATGACTGATTTTGATTAAACTGGTCTCTGTTTGAAAACAAAACTCTTCCGGAACCTACATCTCAAAGAAAGCAGCACACTCAGGGTTTAAAACTGAAAGATTGCCTTCAACAAATGATGGTGATTGAAATTGCAAGTAGAGATTCTTAGTGCCAGAATTTTTATTTAGGATTGTTACTGTTTTTGTTAGTGCTCTGGTAACAAAAATGCATAGGATTTGAGTGGTCTGCCCCAACCCCATTTTTCCCATTAAATGCTGTTATAGTTTGTACAGAGCTTTGCAAGAAAGACTTTTTTCAAGAATTTCGTAACAGCACAAGCTGTAACAAGCCTGTGCTTATAATTTGCCACCCATACTTCTATGTGTTTTATGTATATTCTTAATTCATTTTCCACAGCAACTTGGTAAGATGGTTCCAAGAGAGAAGTGATCTATCCAAAATCACAGAGCTAATGGGGTAAAGTGAGGATTTAGATCTTAATTCAATTACATTATTGTAAGCGGTGACCACAAATGCTACAGCTGAAATTCTCACTGAATTCGTAAAAGGAGTGTTCACTTAGCCCATCAACTCACAGGAGATGGAGGATGCTTTCGCAGCTCAGATGAAAAGTTCACTTCCTTATACTCCTCCTGGCTCTTAGGCTGTTGTTTGATTCGCTCATCTGTGCGGAAGTGGAAGTTGACTGATTTGGTTACCTGGCTTACTGGTTTCTTGACAGGTTGTCCTGAGTGAGGAGCAGAGTAAAACACACAGGTAACACTAAGAAGAGAGAACAGTGGTAAATCCCCTTTTATCCACTCTTCGGTCTTTCTGTTACCATGGATCTACTTTGTTTGCTCTTTACATATAACCAAACATTTTAAACAGTCCCAAGAACACTAATACATGTGCCTTATTCACTGCGTTGAGCACTGCTGGGTTTGAGGCCCTTTGGTCAGATGCAAACTGTAAAGAGGTAGCACAGGGAGAAAAATCCCATCTCCCAGGTGTGGCCATAAACAGGTATGAAGACACAGAGGCACTGGAATGTTTATGACAGGCAAAGCTCTCAAACATCTTTAAAAACACATTTAAGTAAACATCGCTAAGAGGGAAAGCCTATAACTCCAGGGGTGCTTTCTTCAACCCAGTAAGCAGGGCTTTATAGCTTCAACTCCACGAAAAACTACGCCAGAGCAACGCAAAACTCTGACCCCTTCAGCTCCCTCACTCATACTTTTCCCCCACAGCCACAGCTGAATTCATTCCGCTTTCTCTTCCTCGGCCAGGATAAAATGGGAAAACAACTGGCCTGCCCAATTGTTTTATCTTCTGTCTTACCCCGAGTCCCTTTTTTTGCCAATACAAAGAAAAAGAACTAGGACGAAAGAGAAAGAAATAGATTCTCCTTGAAACGAAGGAGTCCTCATGGGAAAAGGCCTCAAAAGATGGGTGTGCCTCCTACAGTTAGAGACAAAGGGACAGCACGCCCTAAGAAAGGGCAGGGTACGTAAAATATTCTAGGGAACGATCACTGCGATGCCCAGCCTGCTACATAATCACATTATTTTATGCCAACTCACAAGAAAGCCTTTTTTGCCATAGACTTAAACAGCCCTGCCAAGGTTATGAGAAGCACCCTCATAAAGCAGGCTCAACACAGCCGAGCTGACCTGCTCCTGCGAGAGCCAGCTTCTTGAACGCTTCATTCTTCCTCCGCATCTCCGCCACCTCCTGCTGCATTTTTATGCTCTTCTCCAACTCTTGCTCCTCAGTACTTTTTAGAACCTTCTGCCTAAAGGGTAAATCAATAAAGGAGATAAGAGAGGAGAGGCTCAATGATTCAAAATAATCTAAAGGCATTATATAGATTAGATTTTTAACCTGTGATAAAATAATCATCCAAACAAAAACTATTACCTAATAGAGCGATATTGACTTAATTAGATAATCTATGAAAAAAAACCCAGATGCACAATTTATACCAAAATATTGAACAAATTTTCAGAAAATAGCTAAAACAGACTAGAAGATATTACAAAAGATCCACAAATTGGACTACATGTGGATTAACTTTATTCCACAAGAAAAACTAAAATTAGCCCTGGCCAGTTTTCTCAGTGGTTAGAGCATCAGCCCTCGGACCAAAGGGTCCTGAGTTCAATTCCCAGTCAAAGGCACATACCTCAGTTGCAGGCTCAATCCCCGGCCCTGGTCAGCGCACATGCGGGAGGCAACCAATCCATGTGTCTCTGTCGCATGGATGTCTCTCTCTTTCTGTCTCCCTTCCTCCCCTCTACTCTCTCTAAAAAAAAAAAAAAAACCAATGGAAAAAATATTCTCGGGTGAGGATTAGAAAATAACAACAACAACAATAATAATAATAATAATGATGATGATGATAATGGAAAACTAAAATTAAAATGCCAGTAGAATAGGGAAAATATTTGCAACAAATATGGCCAAAGGCTAATAATATATAAAGAACATATACTATGACAAAGAGGATAGACGTAGGAGTAAAGTCAAAGTGTTCAAATCCCATAGCCCTGTCATTTCATTTTCTGCCTATGTGATCCTGAGAAAATGATTTAATCTCTCTGGGCCTCAAGTTTCTCTAATGTAAAATGAGGAATATACTTACTCATCTTCACAGAATATTTGTGACTATTAAATCAGATAATGTTTCTGAATACTTGACACATGGTAAAAGTTCCAGTTAGAATAGCCATTCTTAGTAATAAACAGAAAAGGAAACAGAAAATTCACGCAAGAGGAAATATGGAAAAGATGTTATAATAACAGTAATACAATGTTGTCAACAATCAGGTAAATACAAATTAAAATAATTGAATGCCATCAACAATATAGCAATTAAATGTGGAACATTTTTTATTGATTCTTTTTAGAGAGGAAGGGAGGAGAGGGAGGGAGGGAAGGAGGGAGAGAGAGAAACATCAACGTGTAAGAGAAGCATCAGTCAGTTGCTTCCTGTACGCACCCTGACCAGGGTTCAAACCCACAACCTGGGTATGTGCCCTGCCCAGGAATCAAACCGGCACCTCTCAGTGCACGGGACGACACTCAACACACTGAGTGGCACCAGCCACGGCGGGAACACTTGTTTAAAGTAGAAAAAAAATTCAATGCAGATGAGTCAAGGAAATAAAAATATTCAAAGCTGATAGCACTATAAATTCATACATTCAGTTCAGAAATAAAATTGGCAATAAATATCAACAGCCATAAAACTAGTCATTGAGGAGACTGCTCAAAAGAAAAGGCTCTGACTATAAAGATGTTCACTGACTACTTACAATAATAAAAAGTTGGAAGCTGTATTTTCAACAGAAAATGTTTAAATATGAGAGAATATTAACAATCTATCAAAAGTGGATAAACGTGAAGATTTAATAGTACCGAAAAATAAATCAAAGTCTCCTGGTGAGCAAATGAAGCAAATGCAAAGGCAGTTTATACACTGACTGTGAAATACGTGTTTTACTTGAAGGGCCAGAAGGGAGCTTGGCAGGATAAAAACGTTCAATTTACGTAGTAAGAACCTTTACTTTTTCCTTTTGTATTTCTTTAATATGCTTTAATAATATATTTTTCCCAATGTTTAAAGACTTGGACATCCACTGGGATATAAAACAATTCACCTCACCATGGTTATAGCCTCAGGAGTTTCCCAAGTTCCATGCACACCACACAGACTGGAGATGTATGTACCCATTTGTAATTTTACTCTGTTGACTCTGTTTAAATTCAGGAAAGAAGCATACCTTGCAGGTGGTATACAAGGCACAGTATGTCTGCCCTTGGCTTTCTCTGGGGAAGAGTCATTGTTTCCAGAAGTATCCTGATGAACACTGCCATCTTCCTCTACTTCGGCCTTCTTTTGATGGTCAGAACTTGAGTTCAAAAGTACAAAAAAATATCCTCTTAATTCCCTAAAGTATGCCCTGCTCTAGCCCCCTCCCCAGATCTACCACACATGACTTAAATTTTCTCTCTTTAAGACAACGAGCATGCTTCCTCAACCATAAGATTCTTCCACTAGTACCATCAGATCATCTATACCAGTGGCTATAAGGGGTATAAACTTTAAGAAAACCAATAGAAGTCAAGACAACAGTTGTCCAGTGATGGCTCAAGAGGGTAGGAGGGATTCCAACTGCTCATCATCAAATGCACAAATGTCAGGCAGCTGGTTGCCTTCCCAATATCTATTCCATTCTTTCTTATTAACAGAACTCCAATTTTGTTTGGGGCGACAATATGCAAAGGAAAAGTACTGTATTTGCATCAACAGCCTCTACTGCAACTAGGAGGGATCCATCACACAGTTGGGCAACTGAGATATAATGAGTTTCTGGAAAATATTTCACTTTCATGATATGGTTGCTGCCCCTCTTCCTTTGCTTCCTTCTTCTCTTAAACATGAGTGTGACACCTAGAGGTATAGCCGCTATCTTGTGGCAACAAGGCAACAAGCACAAGGAAGAAGCTAAGACACAGAGCAGCCATCTTGAGCAACAAGCAAGAAATAAATGTTAAGACTCAGAGATGCTGCCCTGTCATTGTTGAGTCACTGAACCTAAGCCAACAGCAAACTTCTGTGAAGCAAATAAATAACTATTCTGTAAACCACTCAAGCTGAACAGGAAAAATGCATTCCTAACTGATAAAAATAAGAGCACCATATATTCTGCTTGCTATTAACCATAGGAGCAAACAGGTAAAACCTATGCCCACTGACAGAAGCTGTGGCTACTTACACTTTCATTCTTTTGGAGGGTGGAGTTTCACTGATGATTACAGGAGTAGCGCATCTCTTGGCTTTCGTTTTCACATGGTGTTTTTCTTTCTGTGCCAAATCTTTCTGAGCAGAGAGTCTAACAGATCGTCTACGGTAGAGGAATTGACAAAAGTTTATCTGAATTTATCTACTACAGATATGTAAATGTTCTTCAAAAATGTAAAAGTATGTCAAACTACAAAGGGCTATAAAAAGTTTAGTGGCATTATTTCAATTCTAAAAATTTAATCTCTTGTCTTACTGATAGTTTTTAAAATTTCATCATAAAATACTGCTACTTAAATGCACTGGTGTTTGTAAATTAGACTTCAATAAAGCTGAGATTTTTTTTTTTAAGGCACTAGCAATAACCCAGCAGAATTCTCTCCTTTCATAGGTGAGAAAAGTCAAAAAAGATGAGGTGTCTTTATCGACACTGTTACGTAGCTAACTGCTGTCAGAACTGAAATTAGGGATCAGATCTCCTGGAAACTGACCATAGTATTTATTTTCTCCTCTTTCTTTTAACCACACACCCCTTTTTTGTTAAACTATAACACATACCGAAAAGTGCAGAAAACAAAAATTAAGTTAAATGATTACAAAGTGAAATCTCATGAAATCACGACCGAGGCTAAGAAACAGAACACTGGAAGCAGCTGCTATCTTGACTTATCTCATAGTAATCATTACTCTTTCTTTAGCATTTTACCATATAAACATGCATGCCACAAACATGGTACATTAAGGAAAGAAACAAAAAAATAAACCTTTATATAATGTAATCAGACTGCTGCAAGTATTCTTTTTTGTCTGGTTTATGTCACTCAGTATCATGTTTGTGAGCTTCAACCACATTGATTCACGCAGCTTTAATTCACTGTTTTCAATGCTGCATTTATTGCAGGAATGCGCCACTATTATCCAGTCTACTGTTGATTCTCATGTCTCCTGGTGCAGAGGTACACATTGCTGTTGGATATCTTAAGTCGTAAGATTGCTGGGTCACAGGACATTGGTTAAAACAACTAAAGTTGTTTTTCCAAAGTGCTTGTAACAATTTATATTTACCCTGGAAAGTTTCTAAGACTCTGCATTGCTCACATTCTCCTGAATACTAGGTGTTGCCAGATGATTTCATTTTAGCCGTATTGGCTGGTATGAGAACTTCACTGTGGTTTTAATTTGCTTTTCCCTGATTACCACTGAGACCGAGCACCTTTCACTTACTGGCCACTTGGTTGTCCTTCTCTTTATTGCTCAGTCCAGGTATCTTGCTTGCTTTCTGCGGGTTGCCAGTCCTTTTCTAACTGATTAGTAGAGATTCTTTACATACCACGAGTCCTTTGTAAATTTTATGTTACAGATATCTTTTCCCACTATGGGGGTTGGCTTTTTGCTCTTTATAGTATCATTTGATTAGATAGAGGTGCTCAAATGCATCAACTCCCCCTTCCCATTGTCAGTGCCTTTCTGTTTGTATCCTGCTCAAAAAATCTTTCCCTATTCTAAGGTCAGAACTATGTTCTCCTATATTATACGAGTTTTAGCTTTCACATATAGACGTATAATCTACCTAGAACTGTTTTATATAGAGTGAGGTAGGGGCCAAGTTTCATTTTGTTCTATTTGGATATCCATTGTCCAAGTATTTAATGAAGGGAAGATTAAAAAAAAACACTTTCCCCACAGGTCTGCAGTACTCTCTTTGTCATATACCATATCCATAATGGGAAAGTGAGTTTCTATTTGATTCCACTGGTCTCACTCGTAAAGCAACACTTCCATGGAAAAATTTTTACTACAGACTTGTTGGCTCTTACCTTCTGTGTCAAAGGAGCTTTGGCCACCTTTCAGCCTACCCGCCTAAACCATGTGAAAACAACATAGCAGGGAATTTGTGTGATTGCCTATACCATCCTATTCCATATGTTGATCCTCTCTAGACTAGGCATCTCTGGACTAAGATAAATCTAAGACCTAAGATAATGGCACTAATATTTTACCTCTTATTATGCATTTTCCTTTTTTTGTTTTGTTATCCTAACTGGAGGATATTTTTTCCATTGAATTTTAGGGAGAGTGGGAGGGAGGAAGGGGTGGGGAGAGAGGTAGAGAGAGAGGAACATCAATGTGAGAAAGACACGTCAATTGGTTGCCTCCTGCACGTGCCCCAGTCAGGGCTGGGGATAGAACCTGAAACCTAGGTATGTGCCTTGACTGGAAATCGAACCCAAGGCCCTTCGGTGCGGGACACACACACACACACACACACACACACACACACACACACACACGCTCTAACCACTGAGTCACACCGGCCAGGGCTTATGCATTTTCATAATGCAGTATCATTTACAAAGTACACATTATCTTATTTGGACCTTTCTTACAATTAGCTCTTTTATTCTCAATAAACTGAGGTTTTGATAGTAGAGGATACATGCTTTAAAAAAAAACAAAAAACATTCAGGCAGGGCTTCTGACACTGACAGCAGCTATCTTCCTGTCACACCATCATTTCCAAAAAGCATTCTAGAATTCAGTCAGGATGAGGAACAATTTTAGTAATCATGTATGTATACAAAACAGAGAAGCCAAGGCACTAACACTTTCTTGGATTCTGAAGGAGTCTATAGGACACTGGGTCTCTTTTCCATAGCCCTACTTCACAATCTAAACGGAGCAGAAACCACAGAATCAACCGATAGCAATCTCTTCAGATTCCTGCGATATATACCTACCTGGTTGAGATTTCATAGAATTCTTTGATTAAAAACAGCTTCTTTACCAGAAAAAGATTAGTATAAGCTTGTGTGATACCATCCTCAAAAGTGATACCCTTATGCCAGCATAAGTGATACCCTTTTTACAAAGGGTAATGTCATTACTTCTGAGAAATAATATTGTAAATACTCTGCCATTCCTCTTCCGTGAGGATATTCTAGGTGACATCAAAGTACAAAGCAATAAACAGTCTTGCAATTTAAACCCTGGGTGGGTGGTTAATTCTTTGATGATGAAAGCTCTGAGACCGCTAGTACAAGATTGTGGGTTAACCTACCTACCTGTCCACTTGTTTATTCATCAAGTATTTATTCCACTTCTGCAGCAGCCAAACAATGTTAAGCACTAGGGATACATGACAGTTGCCCTTAGAAAGTTTATTTACAACAGGGTAAAAAAAATCTGTCGAATAGCCATAAAAATAAATGTAAAATTGCAACCCATGTTGGTGGTACCAACAGCAAGGGTTTTGAAACCAAACTGATCAGTTTGAATCCTGGCTCTGAAATATAGTTACCATGGACAAGCAACTTAGTACCTCTGAACCCTTAACCATAAGTGAAATGTATCACCTACAACTCATAAATGTTATGAAGATTAAATAAAGTAATATAAACAGTCTAATAAAATATGACACACCTATTAGATGCTCTGTCCAGTAACTAGTCTTTGAAGATCATTAATATAACTATTACTTTTGATCCTGAAACAGTCTTACCTCTGAGGCTGGGATGGAGTATTTCTTGAGGTGGTTCCCTTGACTTCCAGGGCAGAACAAGCATTTGAGGGAATGGACTGTTGCACCAGATTTTCTTTTTCTGACTCTTTGTAGTAAGTGTTGTTAACTGCAGGAGAGTAAAAACTAGTCAGTACCTGCCCGGCCAGCATGGCTCAGTGGTTGAGCATTGACCCATGGACCAGGAGATCTCAGTTCAATTCCAGGTCAGGGCACATAACCGGGGTTGAGGTCTCAATCCCCAGTACAGGGTGTGCAGGAGGCAGCTGATCAATGTTTCTATCTCTCTCTCTCTAAAAAAAAAACAATGAAAACATATTTTATTTTATTATCATTATTTTAAATCCTTGGCCAAGGATATTTTTTTCCATTGCTTTTCAGAGAAGGGCGGGGGAGAAGGGGTGAGGGAGGGAGAGAAAGAGAGGGACAGAGACAGAGACACAGATGTGAGAGACACACATCAACTGGTTGCCTTCCACATAAGCCCTAACCAGGGCCGGAGATCAAGCCTGCAACCAAAGTACATGCCCTTGGCCAGAATCGAAACTGGGACCCTTCAATCTGCGGGCCAACGCTCTGATCACTGAGCCAAACTGGTAGGGCAAAAATACATTTAAAATAGTAAATAAATAAATAAATAAAAATTAATTGAAGAGAAGTAGCAAGAGGGAACTGAGTGTAGTTATAAAAGGGCAACGCAAGGCCTCTTGTGATATTATAACTGTTTAATATCTTGACTGTGATGGTAGATCCACAAAACTATACAGGTAATAAAACTGCATAGAACTTAATACACATAAACAAAAATGAATACAAGTGAAATGGGAAATCTGAGTAAGATTGGTGGATTGTTGATCACATTGCAATATGTCAATGTATCAAATCAAGTTGTACTTCTTGAACTTGTACAATGTTACATGTCAACTATATCTCAATTTTATAAAATGAGTCAAAAGATAATATCAAAAGGGAAATTAAAAGAATTTTGAAGGGCCCTGGCTAATGTGGCTCAATTGGTTGGGCACTGTGCACCAAAAGGTTGCCAGGTCAATTCCTGTGCCCAGGTTGCTCAATCCCCGGTAGGGGGCATGCTGGAGGCAGCTTATTTTGAATGGAATGAAAATGAAAACACAATCTGTCAAACTTGTGGGATGCCATTAAAGCAATGACTTTCAATAAGTGTGCAGCAAGAACTTTTAAAACATGCAATACTGCCCGGTCAGGCGTGGTTCAGCAGTTGAGAGTCGACCTGGGATCCAGGAGATTGGGGTTCGATTCCCGGTCAGGGCACATGCCTGGGTTGCGGGCTCGATCAATGACTCTCTTATCATTGATGTTTCTATCTCTCTCTCCCTCTCTTTTCCTCTCTCTGAAGTCAATAAAGATATATTAAAATAATTAATTAATTAAAAAAATAATAAAACATGCAATACTTGTCTATCTAGTCAGGGACACTGACCTCTTTGCCCTCAGGTTGCCAAATAAAAAAATGACAACAGCCAACACAACAATAGCCCTCCGGTGTGAATGCCCTGTCTTGAACCATAAATATACAGATGCAGATGGAACTGCATCTGACTGGTTAATTCTTGGCACCAGAAATCCTTATATACAAGTATAGGCACCTGATTTTTTAAAAAGTCACTTTGGAGCAAAAAGGGCAGATAATTACTATTATTATTATTTTTTTGTCAATCAATCAAAATTATACCTTTTTTTAAATTTTTATCAGATCAGGAAAAAAATTTTTGGTACGCCGCAGAATTTTAGTAATTAGTTTGTGTGTGCCATGAGATGAAAAAGGTTGAAAATCACTGCACTGAAGTAGTACTTAGGGGGAAATTTACATCAGTAAACACATTAAAAAAGAAGAAAGATCTTATATCAATGACTTTAGCTGCCACCTTAAGAAAAAAACAAACAAAAGAGCATATTGAGCCCAAAGTAGAAAGAAAATAAAAATCAGAATGGAAATCTATAAAATAAAAAACAAAAAAATATTTAAAAAATCAATATAAATTTACTGTAGTGAGGGTTGCACACTGCTCTATGAAAATACTATAAAAAACAAGGAAATGTACACTTTAAGTAGGTGAATTATATGTTAATTATATCTAAATATAGCTATGACTTCAAAAAAAAGAATCATTTTCAAGGATTTCTGACCTCTTAAAGAATGCGTTATTTTGATCAATAGACAATATTCTACAGATTTAGTAACTACCAGTTTAAATGTCAATCATCTCTTAAAATCAGACAGATGACTCAAACAATTCTTGTACAGGTATAATATAAAGCAGTACATTCTTCTTTCCTACTGGTTTATTTCCCAGCCAGACCCATATGTTACACTAAATCTTGTCACAAAAAGAAGATAATTATATATCTGGCAATCAAATTCTGTTAGAAAAAAATAAATTCTATGTCAGCTTAAGTTCCAAGAGATTATTTTTTAACAAGTATAGCACATCATTAGTTTCACATTCACCATGAAGTGACTTAGCCCATTTCACTTATAATAAATAAAGGCATGCAGCATTTAGGTAATTCCCCCAGATCCCTCAAGCTCCTAATACACTATCCCACCACCATTCTGCCAAGGAGCTTTTTTCTAATGTTCCCTCTTACCTGGTCTCAAAGGTGTGACAATAGCTTGCTGAGGATTTGCTTTTCTCATTGGAGTTTTATCCTGAAAAGGCCCTGGCCCATTCTTCCCAAGAAACTTATTCTCCAAATTGGCCTTCTCTTCTGTGAAAAGGTAAGAGTGCCATCATCTAAACAAGCAAAATAAGTCAGTGCCATGCACTTAAAATGGGGCCTAAAGCCCCCTACCAGTACACTTCTAACTCATTTGGCAAGTACAAGCAAAGGAGTAGTGATTAAAAAAATGACACACATTATACGTCAGAGATAGAGACTGTAAAAACTATCATTAAAACACTGGCAACACTGAACAATGTATTATAGAAAAGAAGTGTACACCCTGCACTGTGAGCAGCTCCTTGTCTCTGCTTGATTCAGTTAGGACCATACAAGCATGAACTAGCCTTATCTACTACCTAAGTACTTCATGTTCCTTCTAAAGAAAACTGTAGCCACCAAGCTCTGCAGGGCTTACAAGGGACATCTCATAGTCTGAGCTGAGGTTCTTCCTCAATTGGGATAGTGAGAGGGGAGTGGTGGGTATGTGAGGAATGAACAGAGTTAGGTTCTATGCAGGAATTTTATCTTAGGTTCTGCTGTGCCCAAAAGTTAGCACAACGCAGTGAAATGCCTGTTTTACCAACAGCCTACTGATAGAAGTGTCAAGATTGCAGTGAGTACCAGCAGTAACAAAACACTGTGCACATACAGATTGCAACTGTGTAAAAAAATGTGATTATTTGGAAGAAATTAGAAAGGAATATATTTGAACTCAGGTGGTTTTGAAAAAATGGTGGGATTAATTTTTTTTTCCCAACTGTATTTAATAGTATTGTCATACCAGTATTTCCTTTTTTTTGTTTTAAAGAAAAACTACGAAAAAGAGAGAACAGACAGCCCAACCATTTCCTCGGGTTTCAGTAGAGCAAGGGCACGGGAAGACCTCCGTAGGGCAGCTGGCTCTCTTGTCTACCTTTCTTCCCACACCACTTCCAGAAGTCTCTCCTCTCAGGGTCCCCACTGACACAATGAAGTCCTTTTCCAGGAGACTGGCATACGCCCTCACATTTGGACTCTGCACTATCACTGCTAAGTACAGCTTCAATGGGCTCATTTCACCCCCATCAATACCGATTTCTCTTAATAAGGAGTAAAAAGGACATGAGAAAGCATAAAATGAAGGGGCCCCAGACACTACTGTGCTGACATATCACAGGCCTCACATATTACTCCAAAGTAATATAAAAACATAACCATCCTTACTTATTGTTGGCCTGGTGTCGGGGTTTGTGCCACATCACATGACCCAACATCAGGCAATCCTTATCTCTGTTTAGGGACTGGGTTCTGAGTAGCATAATCTGTCCCATTTAAAAACGAATTGGAAAGGGATAGCAAGAGGGAGGTGAGTGTAGTTATAAAAAGGGGAACATAAGGCTCCTTGTGATACTAGAAATGTTCAATATCTTGACTGTGGTGGTAGATCCGCGAACCTACACAGGTGATAAAATTGCACAGAATTTAATAGACATAAACAAAAATGAATATAAGTGAAATGGGAACTCTAAGTAAGATTGGTGGATTGTATCAATGCCAATATCCTAGTTGTAATATTATAATCTATGTCAGGTGACAAGTAGAGCAAGTTTTTACATGGCTGCCATCTCTACAGACATGTTTTTGAGTCCTAGAGTTTCACTCAATTTTGCTTAATCATATTTTAAGGAAGTATAGATTTCTGGATTTTCCCATATAGTCATAAAGTTTAAATTATTTGTCGTTCTTAACTACCAAATAGCATTGTATTATACTGATAGTTCATTCCCAAAATACTGGGCACTTCAATTATTTCTCATATCATGGATGACAAAGTATCTTATTGCACACAGAAATTTATATTTTAATTATTTTCTTTCAGCTCCCCCCTTTTTTTAAAGGTCCTCAGAACAAAGCAAGCCACTAACCCTTAAAATGGTAGAGAAAGCAGACACTTACCAAACCAAGAATCTATGTTTTGGGGATCTTCCTCATCATTCAAAGATGTAAAATTGATGAAGTCCGTGGGAGCATCATAGGAGTAAGACATTGTCCCTACCTGGCACAGAAGAGCAGGTTTTTCTAATATTACTGTCACTTTTCTCAACAGGTCACTTTCCAAGTAAAGAAATGGTTCAAAAGTTTGACTTCTGTCTTACTTTCAAATCAAAGTAAGCTCTTTTTGGCAACTTGAAAATACTCCTTGAGGTAAATATGGTAGAATTAGAAAGAGGCCAAGTTTGAGTACCTACAACATGCCATGCACTATGCTAGGTGTTTTACATTCATTATTTTATTTTCCCCCCAATCTACCGTTTTCTCACCCAGTTCTCTCTCTCTCTGCCCTGAATAACCCAATCCAATTTATTCTCTCTCTGTCCCACACAATCCAATTTCTGAAACATATACATCAAATTTCATACCTATCGAACAAAATCCTACTCATCATTCAAAGTCCAATTCAATTCTCTATAAATTCTTTCCCAATTTCTACCCATCATACATAATTGTTGCCTCTCCAAAGCCATAGTGCTTTGTTTACCATCCAATTTTATATTAGGAAACTATGCAAATGTCTCTCCTAGTAGACTAAGTTCCTGAAGGATGGATTTTATTCATCTTTGTAAACCTCATCCATCAAGGTGCTTAGAACAGTATCTTATACATAGTAAGAGCTCAATAGTTTTCATTGTTGTTTTCATTTATCTTTATTGTTGAAAGTATTAAAAATGTCCCTTTTTTCCCCGCACCGATCCCCTCCACCCCGCACCCACACTCCCCAGGCCTTCACAGCACTATTGTCAGTGTCCATGGGTTTTGCATATAAGCATAGAAGTTCTTAGATTAATCTCTCCCCATCCCCACCCCCCATCCCCACCTTCCCTCTGAGATCCCTCAGTCTGTTCCATGCTTGTCTCTGAATCTATTTTGTTCATCAGTTTATTTTGTTCATTAGATTCCACATGAGTAAGATCATGTGATACTTGTCTTTCTCTGACTGGCTTATTTCACTTAGCATAATCCTCTCCAGGTCCCTCCATGCTGTCTCAAAGGGTAAGGGTTCCTTCATTTTTACAGCTGCATAGTATTCCATGGTGCAAATGTCCAAGATCCTTGATATGATTTCAATCTTCTTGAACTTGTAGAGGCTTATTTTGTGTCCTAATACATGGTCTATCTTTGAGAATGTCCCATGTGCACTTGAGGAAAATATCTATTCTGCAGCTTTGGGGTGAACTGTTCTATAAATGTCAATTAAACCCATCTGATGTAGTGTGTCATTTAGAATCACTGTTTCCTTGTTGATTTTTTGTCTGGAAGATCTAATCAGTAAAGTCAGTGGGGTGTTAAAATCCCCTTCTGCATATGGCTGTCAATTTTTTCTTTAAAGTCCTCCAGAAGTTTTTTTGTTTTTTTTTCAGCCTGTGTGAGTCTTTTGTGCTGAGGTGGGTCTCTTGTAGACAGCATATATTTGGGTGTTGTTTTCTTATCCATTCAGTTACTGTATGTCCTTTGACTGGACCATTTAATCCATTTACATTTAAGATTATTGATAAGTACTTATCTAAGAGCTCAATAAATATTGTTCCTGGGCATGAAGAAAAAGACTTTAAAAAATATATAAGCCCTGGCCAGGTGGCTCAGTTGGTTGGAGAGTCATCCCATACACCAAAAAGGTTGCAGGTTCAATTCCTGGTCAGGGCACATACCTAGGTTGTGGGTTTGATCTCCAGTCGGGGCGCTATTCCAGCCTCTCTCCCCCAGCCCATATATATAAACTTTAAAAAAATGGGATCACTGACATTTTGCATCTGCTTCACAGACATATTTTCCATGTCAATAAATACCGATGTATAATCAATAGATGGCTATACCATAATTTACTTATTCCCTACTTCTAGGCTTTTCCGGGTATTTTCACTTTAAAGATACTACTACTAGGAGAATATCCTTGGAGCTAAATTTCTGTACACATCCATAATTCTTCCCTTAAGATAAATTCTTAAAGATGGAATGGCTGGCTCTTGATAAATACTGTGAAAATGTTCCTCAGAAGAGTAATACCCACTTATATTACCAGAGAGGTGTGCCAGTTCCCCAAACTGTCACTGACTCTGGGCACTAACAGCCCTCAGTGCTCATTTTTCTGTGTTATAGCACTATATGTGTACTCCGAGAGAAATCATAAGATTAGTTACACCCAACTTCACTGCTGCTCAGTGGCTTGGCCAGCATTTCATTAGCTTCTCTCAGTGGCCTGGGATAATTCAGAAGGTACTTCAGTGCCTCAGAAACATTTGTTCTGTCACATTCAGTTTACTACTACTGACATCAATCTATATTAGGAAACTTCATCTTCCCATGGTCTCCCATGAACTCCGAACTCCAGATACCTTTGTAACGATGCCCCAGGTGAGGGAGTTAGTGTAGAAACATGACATTTTGGAATTGGGAGGAATCTTAGACTACACCTAACTTTTGCAGTTTATAGATAAGAATTAATTGATGCAAAAAGGGGTCCTCCAAGACCACACAACAATACTAATGATCATGGTAAAAACAGTTACCAAAAGTGCTTATACATGCCAGGTGCCATGAAGTACTAAATACATACTATTCCTAATGCTCTCAACAATACTATAAATCAGCGATCATTATCCCTGTCACAGAAGAGGAAGCTGAAGGTAAGAGAGATTAAATGACTTGCCCAATATTGCAGTTATGTAAGGCAGAATTAGATCTAGAACTGAGGCCCCTGATTTCAGCACAGTGTTCTTCCCATATTGTTCTTCCCTCTCACCCTGTGGATTACAGAAGCACATTAATATAGTTAAAGGTTTCTATTTTCATAGAACATAGTACCATATTTACTTCCAAGTAGATCCATTCTCCAGTCTTTTGCCCTAAATAGACAATTCTTCATTATCCTCATTCTAAATTTTTCACTCTCCCTCATTTCTACTTTCAGTGTTCAATTTAACTCAATAAGCTATTTCTTAGTAGTCCATAAGATGTAGGCTTGATATCAAAGCTCCTTTCTCACTGATATTCAAGGATGAAACACCAAGTCTCATACAAAAAGTAGATCTAGTTTCAGACACCAAGGAATTTAAAATCTATTTTAAAAAAAAGCCCAGCCGGGCCTGGCTCAGCGATTGAGAGTCGATCTAGGATCCAGGCGATCGGGGTTCGATTTCCGGTCAGGGCACATGCCCAGGTTGCGGGCTCGATCAATGACTCTCTCATCATTGATGCTTCTGTGTGTCTCTCTCTCTCCTTTCCTCTCTCTAAAATCAATAAAGATATATTAAAAATAATAATAATAATAAAAAAATAAAATAAAATCTAGACAGTAGCTGAAGTCCTATACTCTCAATAAATAAGATAGTATACAAAATTTAAATTATATAGTATGAACTATAAAGAGAATTAGAGATTAACATAGCTTATGTCAAGCCACTGTTAAATATTTTCAGTTGAACATCTTCAAAACAGGAGGAAGCACACTATAACGTGTATTCCTTGACTGCCACCTTCCAAGCCTGGAGTAGCCACGGGACAGTTCTGGCCAATGAGAAAAAACTAGGAATCTTCTGAAAGACTCATAGGAAAACTCTTATTTCCGGATACAGCTACAGCCCCTGTTCCTGCCCTTTTCTTTCACCCTCCTTGCCTTGAAGGCAGATGTAATGGCTAGGGCTATAGCAACCATCATGTACACATGAGTGGATGGCTAAGAGTATAACAGACACTGGCCCTGACATCACTGAGCTACTGATCACTGATGATCAAACATCAGCAACCATCTACCTCGACAGTAATACCTTTTTTGTTTAAGCTTAAATTATAGTTACATTTCTGTCACTTATACTCAAAAATAATCCCAATGACCATACAAGTCCAGAATTCTAGCCTCTCTAGCATTAACTAGATGTATATGGCAAGAGGCAAGTCACTCTACCTTTCTGCCTACCTACTTCCCATAAACAAATAAGAAGATATTTTGAGTGCTATGAAATATACTACCATAAGATTATCACTGTCTTTGACATACTGATACCTTTCCTCTCTTTGACCACATTTCTATTCAAAGGACCCTTACTGAATGATTCCCCAGTGACTGACAGTGGTTAAAATTCCCCTTCTACAAGGAGGAAGCTTTCCTATTCTTGTGAACAAGCATGCCGAAGACATGGGAAAATCTTGGATTCCCATGATCTTAATGCCTAACCCAGGTCACTGGGAACACTTCCCAGGCAGGAATGTAATGAAGACAACTAGAGTTGGCGGAGGGAAGAGGCAGGAATGTAATTTGCAGCAACCCCACTTAGCCTCCTAAAAACCATGATTCCACCAAAGCATGCTGCTGAAAACCACCTGGAAATTATTCAACTTAACCCCTCACACCCCTTTTTCTTTTTTCAGTTATGGAGCTATACTGCTAGCCTCTTTGGAGGGCAATTTGCCTTTTTTTTTTTGAGAGATCTTGCCAAACATAAAAATTTATCTTAAAGATATTTGTTTATGCATATATGTAAGTATAAGAATGTTCACTACAGAACTGTGCATAAAAGTCAAAAAACTGAAAACCCAAATTCCACCAATAAGAGATGTGTTGAATAAATTATGGCATAAATGTATAATAAAATATTAGGTAACTCTAGTATTAGGTAACTTTACATATGTGATTATATATGTGCAGATGAGCTGTAGGAGCTATTCAATGAGAAAAGTGAAATGCAGAAGTGCATGCCCCCATTCATGCTAAAAAGAGAAAAGCATAACACACACTCATTTATACCTTTGTACATACATAGACTATTGTGGAAGGAGACTCAAAAATGTTAACAGTATATGAGTCTGGGAACAGAGCTGGAAGTTCTAGGTCAGGAGAAGGCTTTTTATTATATGAACTTTTATACTCTTTGAATATGTTTTATTATATAAATGTGTACTTTTTTTAGTTTAAAAAACTAGTTAAGCAGTATTTATTTCCCCTAAATCTATGATTATAGGGCTTTCTGGAATTTTTATTAAGTATTCTTAAATCCAGCCTTAACTGTTAAAACTCTTGATTTTTGGAAATAATGCTTCCCATTTACATGGTCTATAAATTGGCTACTAACTTTCACATATCCAAATGTTACATATTTTCTTTCTTTTGTAATGTTTCTGTATAAAAATAAAATGTGCCTGGGTACTGACTTAATAAAAAAGTATGTAAACTTGAAAAAAAAATAAAAATAATAATAGCTATTAATTACTGAGTATTTATGACATGCCAGGCACTGCTGGCAGTGTTTTTTACATAAGTGACTAAATCTTCACAATTATCCTATGAAATGGGTACAATTATTACCTTCGTTTTACAGACATAGAAACTAAGGCAGAGATATCTTGTACTTGTTCACAGTTACAACACAGTGAAGATGTAGCAAAGCCAGAATTTGAACTCATACAGGTCCTAAAGGGTATGTCCTTATCTACTGCACCATCCACTGCCTCTCATATTTATTTAAAAATAGGTATTTGTATACATCAATATCAAATGTCAAGGAGCAAGAGACAAAACCATTTATAAGTAATAATAAATTTCAAATACTGACTGTCTACTACAGGCCAAGCACCTTAACAGGCACTTCATATGAATCATCTCATTTAAACTGAATTAACAATATAGAAGGTAGATATCATCATCCTCACCATTTTATAAATAAGAAAACTGGCTCAGAGAAGTTAAGCTACTCTAGTTACCAACTAGTGTAGCAGTGTTGAGTTTTAAGACCAGGTCCATAGGATTCCAAAACCTGGAATTATTATAACATGCAGGGTTTTCCTATAAATATTCTTTCAAAAATGAATGAGGTAGTCCTCAACAAAATATTAGCAAACAAAATTCACCAATACATTAAAAAGATCATACATCATGATCAAGTGGCATTTATTCCAGGGATGCAGGTTGGTACAATATCCACAAATCAATTAATATGACATACCACACATAAACAAAATGAAGGATTAAAACCACATGATCATATCAGTAAATGCAGAAAAAGCATTTGATAAAACCCAACATTCATTTATGATAAAACTCTCAGCAAAGTGGAAATAGAGGGAACATATCTCAAAGTAATAAAGGCCATATATGATAAACCCACAGCTAACATCATACTCAATGGGCAAAAACTACAAGTGTTTCCCTTTTATGACTGGGAACAATACAGGGAGGTCCACTTTCACCACTCTTATGTAACACAGTACTGAAAGTCCTAGCCACAGCAATCAGCCAAGAAGAAATAGAAGGCATCCAAACTGGAAAGAAAGAAGTAAAACTGTCATTATTTGCAGATGACATGATACTATATAGAGAGAACCATGAAGATTCCACCAAAAAACTACTAGAACTGATAAATGAATTCAGGAAAGTAGCAGGATACAAAATATCCAGAAATCAGTTGCATTTTTAGACACCAATAACAAACTATCAGGAAGAAAAACGAAGAAAACAATCACATTCACAAATGCTTCAAAAAAAATAAAATACCTAGGAATAAATTTAACCAAGGATGTAAAAGACCTGTACTCGGAAAATTATAAGACACTGAAGAAGATACAAATAAGTGGAAGCATACACCATGTTCATGGATAGGAAGAATTAGCATCATTAAAATGTCCATACTACCTAAAGCAATCTATAGATTCACCGCAATTCCTATCAAGAGACCAATGTAGTACTTCACAGAACTAGAACAAATATTCCAAAAATTCATACAGAACCACAAAAGACCCCAAATAGCAACAGCAATCTTGAGTAAAATGAACAAAATTGGAGGTATCACGCTACCAAATATCAAACTATACCACAAGGCCATAGTAATCAAAACAGCAATGTACTGGCATAAAAACAGACATAAAGTTCAATGGAACAGAATAGAAAGCCCATAAATAAACCCGCACCTTTATAGTCAGATAATATTTGATAAAGGAGGCACAAACATACAATGTGCTAAAGATAGCCTATTCAATAAATGGTGTTGGAAAAACTGGACAGATACATGCAAAAAAAATGAAATTAGACCACCTTCTTACACCATACACTAGAATAAACTCAAAATGGATTAAAGACTCAAATGTTAGACTGTAAGCCATAAACATCCCAGAAGAAAATATAGGCAGTAAAATCTCGGACATTTCTTGTAGCAATATTTTTTCTGATATATCTCCTCAGGCAAGGGAAACAAAAGAAAAAATAAACAAATGAGACTACATCAAACTTAAAAGGTTTTGCACAGCAAAGGAAACCATCAACAAAATCAAAAGGCAACCCACTGAATGGGAGAACATATTCACTAATAATATATCTGATAAGAGCTTAATACACAAAATTTATAAAGACCTTATAAGAGTCAACACCAAAACACCCAAACAATCCAATTAAAAACTGGACAAAGGACCTGAATAGACACTTCTCCAAAGAGGACATACAGATGGCCAATAGATATATGAAAAGATGCTCAAGGTCACTAATCATCAGAGAAATGCAAATTAAAACCACAATGAGATATCACCTCACACCTGTCAGAATGGCTATCATCAATATAGCAACAAACAACAAGTGTTGGTGAGGGTTTGGAGAAAAGGGAGCCCTCATGCACAGCTGGCAGGAATATACATTGGTGCAGCCACTATGGAAAGTAGTATGGAGTTACCTCAAAAAATTAAAAATGAGCCCTAGTGGGTTTGGCTCAGTGGTTAGCGTGTCAGCCCATGAATGAAGGCTCCTGGGTTCCATCCTGGCCAAGGGCACATACCTCGGTTACAGGCTCAATCCCTGGCCGTAGTTGGCACATGAGCAGGAGGCAACCAATCAGTGTGTGTCTCTCATCATTAATGTTTCTATCTCTATCTCCCTCTCCTTTCCTCTCTCTGAAATCAATAAAGATATATTTAAAAAAAAAAAAAAAGGCAATGAAAAAAATATTCTTGGGTAAAGATTAAAAAAAAAAATTAAAAATGGAACTGCCTTAATGACCCAGAGATTCCACTTCTGGGAATTTATCGGAAGAAACCTGAAACGCCATTCAAAAGAATATATGCACTGTGTTCACAGCGGTGTTCTTTACAATAGCTAAGATCTGCGAACAGTCTTATCAGTAGATGAGTGGATTAAAAAGCTGTGGTATATTTACACAATGGAATACTACTCTGCCATAAAAAGGGAAATTTTACCCTTTTTGACAGCCTAGATGGACCTGGAGAACTTATACTAAGTGAAATAAGCCAGTCAGCGAAAGACAAGTACCATATGATTTCACTCATACGTGGACTCTAATGAACAAAATGAACTAACAAGCAAAATAGACTCATAGAGAGCAGGCTGTCAGCTGTCGGGGGGTACTAGGGAACTGAGCAAAAAAGGGGGAAAAAGAGAAAGAACTCATTCACAAGAACAACACTGTGGTGATTGGGGCGGGAGGTGACTGTGGAGGTGGAAGAGGGTACGGGGGATAAACGGTGATGAAAAAAATTAAGTTAAATTTTTTTAAAAATAGGTAGGTAACCAAATCTTACTAACCTGTTAGACAAAAAATAAACTCTGCTCTATACAAAAACTAAGCATCCCTGACAAGTTGTTCATAAAGAGCACTGATAAATTTATAACCCTATTCTAAATATACCAGAAAAGCTCCTAGCTGAATCTTCCTGTAAAGTAAAAACATCACCCTTGATTTCTTTTTCTAAGTTTGTACTCCTGTATATAATGTTTTTCTATACGTAAGATAGAGGTTAGCCTGAACCTCTCAGTGAGTATTCTAGATTAAAAGAGACTATGAAGAGGGTATTCAAACATCAGGAGGGATGTCCTCTGAGGTCTCAGACTGCATTTAATTGGTGGGGATTAAAAGGCTCAAACCTATATAAATTTAATCTTTATTTAGGTAAAATTTTAAAACCAAAGTACTATTTTTAACATGACCTATTTTTAAAAAGCTTCTTTTGAGCTATTTTTCGGTCTAGCATGGCCAGTTCACACCCCTCCCCCATTCCCCCAAAACAGGAATAAGTAAATGCACATCCATTGAGAAGTCTGGCAATCCTCAATAATGGGTGACAGCATCAGTATGTGAACAAAACCACAAATTACAGGGTTATGCCAGTTTCACCACACTGCCTCTCCCATAAATAATAAATATTAGGATGTAAAACCCTCAAAATTTAAACAGCACAGGTCTAGTGGGAAATGGAGCAGGCCAGAGCCAAAGCCAACTGCTTAAATGAGAGAGCCTCATGCACAGTGGGAACTGGATGCCTTCCTGCACCCCTTAATCAAGATTGAATTTCTGTCAACAAGTCTCACTGGAAAAAAAAAAGACACATGCGTCAACCACATTCCCCCAAACAAATTAAGCTGCCAAGCAAAAGAATCAGCATCATATTTCAAAATTATCTAAATCCACCATAGCTTCAGACTTCTGCAAACCTAGGAACATTATTGTAAGTGAAAAAATTAGCTCTTTCTGACCAACAATCCTACAATAGACGTGAGAAAAAAGCCTCTCCAGTATGTTATGAACCAGTCAGTTTCCTTTTAAAAACTGCCTACTGCCCGGCCAGGCGTGGCTCAGCGGTTGAGCGTCGACCTAGGATCCAGGCGATTGGGGTTCGATTCCCGGTCAGGGCACGTGCCCGGGTTGTGGGCTCGATCAATGACTCTCTCATCATTGGTGTTTCTATCTCTCTCTCCCTCTCCTTTCCTCCCTCTGAAATCAATAAAGATATATTTAAAAAAACAAACAAACAAAAAAACTGCCTACTAAGTACCATCCATCATAACATATAGCTTATTTTTGTTTCCAAAAAGCAAAGACTAAAAGGATATACATAATCCCCTCCCTTAAGGAACTCACAGCTGAATGGAGAATACAATTATAATACAGGGTGATCCTTGTTATAATGGGAGATAAACCAAGAGCAACTAAGGATAAACTATGGAAGTGAAGAGAAGCATAATAGAGTAAAGAAGGGTCCAAGCAAGCTTCCTGGTGGAAGAGATACCTAAAATTACAGACAGAGCTGCAGAGTTCTATAGACTAAGGATGAATGTTGACTTTTTCAAGGGGAAGAGGTAAACAGAAAGAGGAAACAAATGGGGGGAACTACACAATTGAGGAAGACTGCAAAAGAAGCAATGTAACCTGTTTCCATGTCATCTGATGTTAACCTCTATCACCTCCTGTCTCTCTTCACTGTCAAACCAAAAATAACTGGCCTTGACAAGCTCTATAAATCAAAGAGTACAGGTTCAAAAGTGGGTGCGGTAGGAGTGGCAAAAGGGTGCGTTCTAAGCAAGGCTGAAATAGTGGACTAGCAGCTCCTAAGCAAAACAAAGACTTTGGTGTGATTGATGCTCTCAACTGAGAACCTCACTATCCAGCTTTTGAGCTGTGTCTGTCTTGCCTATTTCTACTGCGGGAAAAATCATGAGTTAAACAATTGGTAAAGTCATAGAGTAAACAGAGAAACTCAAGATTTCATTAGAAATGTAGCTAGTTAAGATGGTCCCATCCCAGGCAGTGCCATTTCCCCAGGGACATCCTCTCCTACTTTCACAAGGGGATAAGAGATCCTGTTACAGTACCACAAGTTAAATAGAGTTATTTTCATCCTACCCAGGGAGAAAACACCTACATTTTTTTGGACATAAGAGATCAGCAGGAGTCAGTAAATGGCAACATAATCCAGCATGCAATTTTAACTGTTAATCTAAGTCACAAACTAAGTCTGAAGGAAGTCAATGGACTTTGTGTTTCCACATTTATGTTTGCTAACTTCTGTGTTGAAATCAGATCTGTTTACAGAAACAGATCTATGGAGCTTCCAAAATTGGGTCAATTTAAAATCCAATGGCAATCCCTCACTGTCCAAGCACTCAGAAGTCAGCACAGGACACATGGACACTTGTTCTAATTTATCACTGTCGAGAAACCTCAAGCAAATATATTTTTCTATCATTTCTCTCCCAAATTTGTGAGTTTCATATCACTCTCTCTGAAGACTTACAAACTCAGTTCTGCTTTATTTAATTTATTCATAGATTCTATTAACCATAATACACTTTTTTAATGTTTTTATGATTTTAGAGAGAAGGAGAGGGAAAGAGAGAAACATCGATCAGCTGCCTCCTGCACACCCTTTACTGAGGGCATGTGCCCTGACTAGGAATCAAACCAGTGACTTTAGGGTTCATGGGATGACGCTCAACCAATAGGGCCACTCTGGCTGGGCAACCATAATCCATTCTTATACAACTAATAAGACCTGGATAGAATGCAATGATGCCATTTACCTCTAGGCCAAATGACACAGATCTTTGTAGAATACTAAGAGAAAATCTTTGTAGAATATCAAAGTATTCTGATGTTCCAAGAGTAAGAAGCTGAGTTTGTAAGGGCTGAAAGTGGGGCTGCAGGTTATAATCCTCATCAAATCTCAATTACTCCGTCTTGTAGAGATTTATATACTTCAAAAGGTTTGGGAAGTAGACACCGCACACCCAAGAACCTAAAAAGGTGATTATCTATGGTAGGGAGTGAGGTACACAGTGACAGAGTTGGGAGATCTTTAACTACTGTAAGTCTTTTTACATTATTCTGATTTTTGAACAATGCAAATGTATTACATATTTTTTAAATATAAATTTGTGCCTGTATGAACATACACTGTCAGTGGGTATGTGAATCAGCATAATTTTCCTGAGGCAATTTGGTGTTATATACCGAAGTCTTAAAAAATATGTATTCTTTTTAACCAATGATTTCACTGGGTAAAATACTACAGAACCATGTAATGGAATACCACATAACCATTAAAATTATGTTCTACAAAATTTTAATGGCATGAAAAAATGTTCACAACTTACTGGGGGGCGGAATGAAGGTTTTCAGTGAATAATTTTTTACAACCAAATATAGGCACACAAAAACATTGGAAAGAAATCTAGCAAAATGTAAGCCAGTCTGGCTGGAGTGGCTCAGTGGTTGAGCGTCAACTGGTGAACCAGGAGATCACAGTTCAATTCCCGGTCAGGGCACATGCCCAGGTTTCAGGCTGGATCCCGTGTGAAGTCGTGCAGGAGGCAGTGGATCAATGACTCTCTCTCATCATTAATGTTTCTATCTCCATCTCTCTCCCTCTTCCTTCCTCTCTCTGAAATCAATAAAAAAAATTAAACATTTTTTTAAATGTTAGCTATAGTTTGTGAAAGGTGGGACAATGGATTATGTTTTCTTTTGCTTTTCCAACATTAAATAAATTTTCTTCCAAAACATGTTACTTTATAAAGATATATTAAACTTACTTAAACACTTTTGAAGCTAATATGTTAATCTTCCCCCTTATTCTTTTTTAATGTAACTCACTGTGGACACAACCTCACCTGTAGTATAATATGTCGGTTCAATCAAAGTTGCAATATACTTTCACTTGTCTTCTGAAATCTTGAAATCTAGCAAGTACTTCTTATCAAGAACCTGGAAGAAGCAGAAAGATGATGAACAGGTTCAAGTTCTCTGTAGTAAAAAAGGCTAACAGAGAACAGGGAGGAGCTATAAGATAACAGCCACACTCTCAAAACCAGAGGGCTCTGAGAGTTAAGGTCCAAATAGCACGGATCCCCCAAACGCCAAACTTCTTAACAGATTATTGTTTCATCAGTGTAAAAGTGTTCTTAAATTTTTTTAGTATATATTTGCTGTCTCCTGGTGTATTTCATATTACCTACACTACTCCCACTTTAAAACAAACTCCAAAACCTGCAATTTAGGAAGACTGACACCAAGGGGTGGTAGTGTGGACTTCTATCCTATTCAAATAGGACAAATAGCAGGCACACTTAAAATATGAAAAACACTTTTACTACCTTCTTTTTATTTTAAAAAGTAGAAATAGCATTTTTAAATTTCTTCTAAAGTAAGCTCCTACATACAACTTTATACCTTTCTCACTAATTTTAATCTCCCCCTAATTAAGTTTATCTATGCAAACAGACAAAAACAGAACCCCTCGCAGTCATCTATACCTCTTCCACAAAGTACCTTGGGCTGCTGCTCTCTATGTCCCTGTCTTAAACAGCTCTATTCATAAAATTGCTTGTGCTGTTCAATCTCCCTGTTGTCAATTCTACTTCCTACCTTTACCCATGGCAAAGAAAATTCAGTTTGCTAAGGGGCATTAGAATCTCTCCTCCTTCTTTCTTCCCCAGCAATTCAAAAAGAATAAGGGAAGAGAGCCAAAAAAGGCTGGAGAAAAAAATATACAGGGGATATAGAAGAACTCTGAACCTCTCCTGGTTCCTAAACATGAAGGAAGGTCCAGATTATCCCATCTTCTGGAGAAGCTTAATTACAACTGTAGAATAAATTAAGGTTAGAATGCAAAGACTTTCGCATAAGGCTGCCCAAAGTAACCCTATTTTATTTATATAATTTGAAAGTTTAAACAAATTTACCAACCTAGCTGAGTAAGTCCACTTTTTCAAACCTGCAATTTTGTAGTCAATTTAGATAATACCCTCCTGCTTATCCAATTCAATAGATATTAAGTGGGTGATTTCTATGTACCAAGACTGTTCTAGTTCCTGTCTCACAAATTTTGTTTATCAAGAGGCAGTTTGTGTCCCACCTGCATCACAAAGCCACCCTTGTCTATTTTTTAAGCTCTGTTCATCTCCCTCACCTCTAACTTGCCAGGGCACTTACAATACAAAACAGTAGAGTACTCAGATGCTGTCTTAACTTATTCTGGTTGTCACTTGTCAATCTGAATCAGTCTTTTGTCCTCAAGCATATCAGATCGTATACCAACAATATCCAACACCAACCTGAGCATACAGCATACCTTCAAAGGTCAATTAATTAGCTAAGTGAGCTGGGAGCTACAATAATTTTGATCCCAAGAGTGACAACTTAATACTGAGCTGACACACTCAACAGTACTACTCCAGAACAAGGAAGGGTGGTAACACAGGAGTGGCTTGACCAGGCGAGTGAAACACTGAGGCCACAACACAAGCATATCCTTATTATAGCAGTAAATAATTCAATTTGACATCTGATGAGACAAGGTAAGGCTGAAACTGGGAGGACACCAAACAAAAAGCAAAATCAGGAGAGGACTCAGATGCTGCCTTGTCCTAAGCAGGATTGATTTGGGGGTAAATCCTTGGTACTTAATTACTAGGAAATAGTATGTGAGAAAAAGAAACCATATATCAAGAGAAAGGGGGCAAACCAATCCTACAATATTATAGCCTGGTTCACACTTCTTTCCCCTCCTAATTATAAATGTTCTACACAATAAATTAGAACAGCAATAATACCTAGTTTTTAGATAGAAAAGGGGAGGGCTGGGCAAATATGGATAAAACAGAGTTAATTTAAAATCCCAAACAGAAACACAACTCAAATAGAATTAAACTCTCCCTCAAGTATGTTCTCACACCACCTCATTTATCTATCTCACACAATAGTTTTGAAATGTACTTTGTGACCACAACTGTTTTCCTCCACCAAAGGCCCCACTTCTTGAGGGCGGGGCTCCTGTTTCATCCATTTCTCTAAGTTTGTCTAGACTGTGGGCCTCAGTTTCCTCCTCTATAAACTGGGGCTAAGAAAATCATCTATTTCATTGGCTTGATGCGAAAATTAAATGAGAAAAGCGCGCGCACAGTGTTTAGCCCAGTAAATGCGTCTTTCATGTGTGCGTGGTAATGACAATTGTTACCTTTACTATTAGCCGACAGCCTCTCGCAAATCCTTCTTCCCCCTATTTGCCACGGCCGGCTTCCACCTCTACCCCCAGATACAGCCCAGCGGATCCCGCCAGGGCGGGCCTCTCGGGAAAATCCTGTAAGGACGAGAAGGGCCGCCCCGGCCAAGCCGGCGCCCCACAACAAAAGCCTCAGAAGATACGGACCGAAAGGGGCTTGGAAGCGACCTCCCGTCGTTCGAAAATCAGGAAAAAGGCACCCCCGCGACCCAGCTGCTTCCCTTTTCTCCCCAAGGCTCACCTCTTCTCAGCTGCAACGGCGCAGCGCCCGCAAGAACCGCCGCGGGATTCATTCAGTGCCGTTGAAAATTTGAACCCAGGCTCACCAGTCGAATACACCAATCAGATTGCAGGAACTCGGCAATACCAGCCTCCCGATTGGCCCTAAAGCTCGCACGACGCCGGAAGTCAGGATGAGGGACGAGCAAACACCCTGCCCGGAAGGCTCCTGGGAAATGTAGTCTCAGGCGACTTCGGGAGCCCATTGGAACAGCTCTAATAAGGGCTTTACTACAAAGCCCAGAAGGCTCCGCTCCAAACTATTTGGGGAAGGTGGTACCAACTGAAGAGACGTGGAGTTGATGTAGCTAATAGAACAGCACCGTTCTTGGACCTCCCCACAACTTTCACGGAAGAAAATGCTAATTTTATTATTCTCCTTGTAGTTGTGCATTGTGCCTGAATTAACTTCGTTTTAATATAGAATCCGCTGCATGCAACATAGACTCTCCCTCAGCTTCTCTGCCAATGAAGGAGTCCTTCAAATTCTTTATCCACCCCAGGCCCTGATATTACTGGTTTAAAATCGCGTTTTATTGGGTTCGTCGTTCTTGCGTTTGAATTCCAACGACATCGCTTGTGTTGTTATCCTCGTATTGTAGAAAAGACCACAAAGACTCAGAGAAGTTGAGTAAACTTGTCTAAAATCACGTAATAAGTGGAAGAGATAGGATTTGAATTAAGAACGTCTGGGTCCTAGCCGGTTTTGCTCAGTGGTTAGAGGATCTGCCTGCGGACTGAAAGGGCCCAGGTTCAGTTCCTGCTGAGGGCACCTACCTGGGTTGCAGGCGCCTTCCTCGGCCCTTG